AAGAAGGGTTCATGTTTTTCCAGCCTCTGGCTTTGGTAAAGGGTACCAGAAACCGGAAATTAATGGGGGAAGCCTGGGGTTTCCCCCGGGGACTAGAGAGGGGGTTCGGGGGGGGTTAATTTTTCCTTTGGAAAGCCACAAAACCCCCAAAAAAAAGGGAGGGGGAGGAGTTTTTAGACCGTGGACGGGTTAGGGAGTTGACGGAATTTAACGGAAGGTTCCAAACCAACCGGAACTAGGGTTTTTAAGGTCTGACATTTGGGCCCAAATATTGTTGTAAAATACTCAGAAAATTAGGAAATTTCCCCTAGCTTGGCAAAGGGGACCAGACGGGAAGGAATCGATTTTTTGTATTGCCCAACCCTTTTAAACCCAATCGCAAACCAGTTCTAAAAAAAATTTAATATTTTTACCCCAAACAAACCCGGGTTTTTTTTGGGGAAGGTTTCGAAACACTAAATTTTCCTGTTTTGCTTTTTATTTCAAAGTAGGTCGATATGCACACATTTTCATTGGTCTGAATTAGACCTTACAAACTGGTTGACGTATTCCACTCAGCATATGTCAATTTAGTTTTTATAAATAGTTTTGGTCCTGGCGGTGGGTAGCAGTGAATATGAGATGTAAAATTTTGGCGTATTTCTTAGACCTTCATATCAATATAATAAAAAATAGATCATTAAGTAAGACGAGCTTAATAATCAATTTTAAAAGATTTGTGTTTACATGTACTCAACTATTTTTAATGACCTTTTTAATTTCACACCACCATTTTTTGACATTTTGAAAAAAAAGTTTTTGTCAATTTAATCAAAAAAAATTTGATTACTCTCAAAAATGTAAAACAGTCTAGAAAAGGGAATCAAATGTTTGGGGGGAATAAAAACCCTTTTTGAAACCTTTTGAATTTTAAAACGGGGTTTTAAAAAGGGTTAAAGGGAAATTTGGGGATATGGATTTAAAATTTTGGACTCGGGGAAAAAAAAGGGGTTTCTTGAAAAAATTTGGATCAATTTTTTTTTTCTTTTGGGAATTAAAAACTTTAAACAGGGGTAAAAATTTGGCATAATTTAAAATTTTGTAAAAAAAAAAAATTTTTTTTGCAATTTTTAAAACAACAATTTTTTAAGATAGAGGTAATATCGCCCGGGTTTATTTTTTTAAAAATAAATTTAACGGGAAAAGGGTAAAAAAAATTAAAAAAGCAAAAAAATTTTAAAGATTTTTTTGAAAAGGGAACTGGGGTTTTGGGCCCAAATTTTTCAGAGCATGATGCTAAATTAAATTTTTTGGGACAGAATAGTCCTTTAAAGTGGAACACCATAAATACGTTCTAAATTTCACGAATTTCAGCATTTATATTAAATCAAAAAAAAATGGAAGATAAGAATAACGCAGTGCAGATTTTTTATATCTGAAATTATAAATAAAGCAATGGGGCCCACGAAAAATAATCTGAAGTCATAGTTTTTGAAAAAAAAAAGGTGATAATTTGGAATTGTCCCTGTGGGTTTGAGTCGGACATTAAAATTAATTTCATATGGCAGCAATTTCCCCACTTTTCTGGTAAAATGTACATTAAAACAAGGTAGGATATAAAATATATACCACAGAAGGCTTTACTGTTTTACACAATCCCCAATTATACATTTATTATTTTCAAATTGTGTCTTTCCATTTGTTACTTTCCAAAAGCCTTGGGCTTAAATTTTTGTTTAATTCTAAGACAGTGGGTTCAAATTCTCTACTACTGTAATATGAGATTTCTTTTGACTTCCACACTGGCGCATTACTAGTTCTGAAACCCAGGAAGCAGTCTTCTGGCGTGACTTAAAAATGGAGGAAACGTCAGGGAAGGAAATTTTCTGACTACCTATGAAATCACGACCGTAATAAACATTGTTATTAAAGACGTGATGAATTGCATGTATTCTAAAGTATTTTAATTTATTGAAATATTTTAACTCCCTTTTATATTTACATATTTTTTTCTGGTGGCATTGTTGCATTCTATATTGCTGCGTTTTTAATAACTAGTGATGGAAAAATATTTAGTGGTGTGATATATTTTTTATCATAACGGTCTTAAAACGGCATTTAGCTATAGTAAAATCAAACATGGCGGGGATGCTGAGACCGTTTGTGTTTTGGGGACAGAAAAACGACTCTGTATCATTAAAGATAGATCTTAGAGATGTGACAGTGAGTGTATATGTGCTTTGGTAACTTTTGATTAAAAGCTCTGTGTCTTGTTGTGTTGACAAGCAAGCTTTGAATATAAAATTAAATCATTAGAATTTTAGATACTTTGTTACAAGTCACAAGTGTCAGACCTTGACCAGCCTTTGGCCAATTTGGGGCACAGACACCTAGGGGTCAGACGTATGCCCCGGCTTGATCCGCCTCTATAAACTGTTAGGATAAAAACTTTTAACATTTTCACACAAATGAGGCATCTGTCTTAAACAGTGTTAAAGGTCTGTAGCTATCCAGGGATCGTAAATTCAACGGTTTACAGACTCTTCACCCCCCCCCCCCCCCCGACACTTCACCCTAGGCCCTTTTTTGCAGACACTTCACCCCTCAGACAGTTCACCCCTCATTTTAAGAAATTTGATTGAGACACTTCACCCCCCCATTTTTTTATTTTGTGTTAAACAACTATTTATGTAGAAATGTTAAATGTATACAATAGTAATTGAGTATGTTTATTGTTTTAACATATTTTATTATTATTTTATCATGTAATTGACCAAAGACAGTGGATATAACTTGTTGTTTTTGCCCTTAAATAAGGCTCATATCACAAAGTTATTAGTAAGTAAGTTCTTTATTTTTTATTTTTTTATATATATTTTATACTAATTTCAATTAAAGTGAAAGTGATATAACTAATTGTAGAATAATCTTTCTATTGAAGTGTGTGAACCTTTGTATGAATTTTCCTTTGATATATATTAAGACAGTAAATAATCTCTTTCACACTTCCTTTGTGTCTTTAATTGACAGTATCTTGTTTAATGAATTGAAAGCTAAAAATGAATACAAACTGAACTGGCAACACATAGCATGTGATACCGGTAAGTTTACTTAACAGACTTCCCGAAATACGTCGGTCCGACGGACATGTCCGATAAATTTTGATCAGGTCCGACGATTTTTTATTCCGGATCGGTCCGAATGTCCGGCTTTTATCCAAGCAGCATGTATACAAAATGGCGTCGCTAAAGCTGCCAAACCTGGGAAAAACGAAAATCTTCGTCAGAGGAGCGCGCAGAACAGCAATAAAAGGATGAAAAGAATAGACCTGAGACAAAATTTAATGAAAAATGGAAGGAGGACCATGAATCGTTGGTGTATAACAGGGAGGAGATGAAAATGCACTGTACGGAATGTGCCGATTTTTACGGCGAAAAAATTAAAAACAAAAAGTGTCTTAGAAATACAAACACAAGTTTTTCTTTGATTTTGATCAATTTTATTTGGTCTGAAAGATTTCGTTTCGGTCCGACAGATTTTCATGGTTTGTCAGACCGAATGTCTGACAGTTTTTTTTAACTTTCGGGAAGTCTGCTTAATTTGTTAGCAACATTTTTAACTTTTAAAAGTAAGGAAAATACAAATTGTTCTTTTTTATTTATAACAATAAGTGGATAAATAATTCATTCATTCATTTATATTCTTTTATATTCATTTTATTTATTTATTTATTTTTCAAACAATATTATTTATTAAATTATTTCTTATAATATTATTTATTTATTTATTTTACATATGATTTTATTTATTTATCTATTTATTTATTTCATTCTCATACAATAATACCTTTTTAATCCAATTATCTAATCAATTATGAGATAACTGTTGAATAAACAACCAATCAACATGTTGAATATACAAGGTGATATGCAATAAACATTTAATGGATGAAAGTGCTTTGTGGCCAATACGGTGATCTATTAAGGACTGAGGAATTCTTGGAGAAAGTGGGTGAATTTATGGATGTTTATAAGAATGTGGTTTTTTGAACCAGTAAAATGTTGTTTTATTGCATGTTATAAGTAAATGATTTAAAGAAATTATTACATGTGTTATTTGTTCCTGAATTATTTACTAAACAAATATTTACTCTTAGAAATGTCTGTAAATTGTCCTTACATTAAAAAATTATTAATCAAATATAAATTAAAATAATTAAAAAAAATTGGATGAGGGGTGAAGTGTCTTACTGATTTTTGTGGGTGAAGTGTCTTGAGGGGTGAAGTGTCTTCAAAATTTGAGGGGTGAAGTGTCTGGGGGGTGAAGTGTCTTGCTACCAATTCAACTCCTCTGCTCGTATTTACGATGGTGATCGAGACAGGATGAGTACAAAATTGTTGTATGCTTGTCCTGCAGGATGAGCGGAAATTCACCAATGCGATAGTCCTCTAGAATTCTCATAATCTGTTTGTTTACATTAAAAAATGGAAAACCGGAGACACAAAGCTTCTGTTTTAGTTTATGTATAAATCACACACTTTTTAAAGCTCTGAACGTATTGTTACTTGGAGTGTGATTGGAATGTGCCTGACAATGCTATATAAAGTGCGTGATTAAACATAACCTTAAAGACAAGCTTTATTTTCGTTCTGGTTCATTTTAAATGTAAACAAATGGATTATGAGAATTCCATGATCTATTGCATCGGCGAAGATTATCATGATGCAAAACCTTCAGGATGAGTGGTTTCAAATTTCTACTAGTTAGGACTAGTGGCTCTGAAAAAAAATTGTGATCCCTGCAATCATATTCATTAAATTTGTTTATAAACCATTTAAAAGAATTTTTAAAAAATACATTTATTTTACCATCAAGTCTAAAAAACTGTAAAGATTGCCCCCTAAAATTTTTGAAGGACAGACATTTTAATTTATCTCTTTCTGTACCTTTACAAATGGAAATTTTCATGTTGTTTAAAATACACTTATAGGGGAAATTTCTGGCAATTTTTGTTGCACAAAAGTGACAATACTTATGTTGTTGAAAATGGTGTTGCATGAATTTCTGCAATTTGTGAATTGAGTCTTGCAGACAGCAAGACAGTATTACAAATTAAACAAATAATTAAATAAAAGTTCACCATAGAAAAATTTTTTTTTTTTAGAAATTGTTTTCCGCAGGTTAAATTTTATGTCCAAAAAACATTTAATGCTTGATAACCCTGAATTTGGAATATTGGGTATTTGAAACATTGATTATTAGTGCACATAATATTATTAAAAAACTAAACCAGTAGTTCAACTAAGTACGGAATCTCGTGAATTTCTGGTATTCAGTTGCACTAAATTTAATCAGATCTATTTTCATGATATTCAGCGCCTGCAAATAAAGTGAAAGTAAGATACTAGCAAAGGAAACCCCCTGATGTACAGTACTTTTTGAAGACAGAAATTGAGCCAAATATCAGACCCAAAGAGCTTTTTTATCATTATGCCCTATACTATGATTCTTTATTTTACAGATTGATAATGTAAATCTTACAGAAGACAGGCTTGAAGCATGTTTTGAAGGTGTGGGAGCTCATGGAAATAACAAATATGGTTTTGAACTTGACTTTTATCTGCCAATTGACCCTGATGTAAGTTCTTTGTGCAATTTGGTGAAATTTGAATGTACTGTTTTTTCTTATTCATGCATTCCAAGGATAAATAGTATATAGTCTCTGCTTTGTCTGTCTGTCCAACTTATGTTTGCATACCCTAAAAAATGTTCCAGGCTTTATCTTGCAAAATGCTGACCGGTATCCACCAACACTTTACAGGAAGCCACACTATCAAGGAGAGATAATTTTTACCCAAGTTATGATCATTTAATGCCTTTCCACATTATTTCTCAGTAAATCAATAGAATTTAAAAAGACCCTGCTGTTATTCATCGCAACTCACATAAAGCTTAAGCATCATTTTTACCAGCAGTAAAAAATGTCCCCACTCTGGGGGTCACTTACTTTACATTGACTTACCTTGTGAAAATGTCAGAAAAACATCTTTTCAGAAACTGCAATGCCCAGGCTTAGAAATTTGCCACACAGCATCACCTTGTGCTCTCTACGAAAGTTATGCCTCTAGGGTAAAGATTGGCCCTGCCCAATGTGGTCACTTTAAGTTTAAAAAGACTTTAAATACAGTAAAGCTTATGTAAGTCTTCATGTGTGAGATTACACTTCTCAGAACATTGGTCATTAGTATGTACCTGGTCCTGTAGTATTTCCTAGTGGACATCTACAAATGTTTAAAAAATATTTAGCTTCTGCTAAAAAGACAACCTAATGTGACTTACTTACTGACTTTGCATTGAAGAACTGTAATATTATCTAACAATGCAGCTCAGTTGAGCGATCAAGGGCCATCATGGTCCTCTTGCCTAAATTTCCCTGTATACTTGGCCACTAGTGAGAATGCTGTTTTTCAAGATAAAATTTCATATACACAAAAACAAACAAATCCCTTGCATAAATAGATAATATTCTGATACAACAGTACTGTTCATATACAACATATTTTATGTTTTATGAACTAAAGGAAATAAAGATTTGACCTATATCATGTGGAAAGTAATACGTATTTGCCAAGAATCACCACTGTAAGATTATTTCAAACTTTGATTTCAAGTGTGTATCAGAACTATAATATATATGCCTGTTATGGAGCTGCTACCTGAAAACCTTATTGTATGAACATTTAAAGTTTATAATACTATAATTAAAATACAGTATAAGGCTATCAAATGCATTATAAACATCATGTCTCCTTTAGGATTTGAACATTTTGACATAAACTCTTTGCGTGCTGGCGGCTACAGAATCTACCCAGGCAACCAGTGCAGATCAAATTCACCTGGTATATCAGTGCAGTTTGATCATGTTCTGCTATTCAGTCAATCAGTACTTATTTTGAAATTTTTCCTATAAATAATATAGGACCTTGGCCTGATTGAAATAGGGACATGTCAATTTTGAATGTACATGTATAGCAAACACTCAAAGAGCTCCTGAAGAATTAAAGTCATGTTACTTTTGGAGGAGTATGTAGATTTTTCATTCCAGAAATGTTCAGCATAGTTGTAAGACATTATTGAAAGACATCTGTTAAATTTTTATATAAAATACTAACAATTATCTTAGTTGAAATTCATATGGGGACCAAACACACAACCTCTACAATTATGGAGCCAAATTTTGGCACCAAAATTGGTGAATTTGAAGGCCCTGACCACTGGACTAATTTGCAAAAATCATGTAGCAAAGTCTAGAAATACATTGTCAGAATGTCAAATATAAGGACTTTAAGGGTGATAATAATTGATACAATAAAGAGGAGCTACAAACAAAACAGGTGTGTATCGTAGTGCAATAAGTGATTAGCAGTTATAAACGTGTGTCAGTACTGTGTACTATTGATTTATTGTGTTTCATGCCCTTTTTGGTATTTGAATAAATGTTATTTTGGTTTGACCAATTTACAAGTCATTCACTGATCAAGTTCTAGTGATTTGTCACAATACTGTCAAGGAAGTGCAATCAAGACTTTTTTCTGCAATGTAAGGACCAGTTTATAATGTTACGATATTAACATTAGGATTTTATTTAGTTAAACTTTTATATTTCCTTAGAAATGGCCTCTACAAAGCAATATTCAATTTTATTTGCAATATCTTTTTTTAAAGTATTATTTTAAAAAGGCAAGTTTTAAAGGATTTTAAAGCTAAATTCATGTAGTCCCACACATTATTAAAGTTTAGATTTAAATGTTAAGAAACATAAGAAATAACCTTTGGTCAAGTTGTTACAGCCACTTACATTGAATCTTAAGGTTAATGTTACCTGACTTAAACTTAGTTAACCCCTACCATACAAAGTACAATATCTTAAATAAATTTGTGTGTATGGGTGTCCGTGGCAGAGTGGTTATGGTCATTGACTACAAAATATTTGCCCCTTACTGCTGTGGGTTTGAATCCTGACAGGGACTTTGGATTCTTTCATGTGAGGAAGCTATCCAGCTTGCTTACAGAACGTCGTTGGTTCTACTCAGGTGCCCGTTTGTGCCTGTAATAATGTTTGGATGGGCACCTGAGGTCTTCCTCCACCAGTAAAGCTGGAAAGTGGATATATGACCCCCCCCCCCCCACACACACACACAAAAAATAAATCAAAATAAAATAAATATAAAAAAATCAAAATATGTATTGACTGAAAATTGAACAGTGCAAACCATGATAGACAGGGCATACATGTATTTGCCTTGCACTGGTGATATGGATATAATCATTGACAAGCTTTTATATGTTAAAACACCAGTCTTTCCCCTCACCACTGTGGGTTGAATCCCAACAGGGAATTTGGATTCATTCATGTGAGGAAGCTATCAAGCTAGGTTATTGAATGTCAGTGGTTCTTCTCAGGTGCCCATTCATGCTGAAGGTCACCTGTGGTCTTCCTTTATCAGCAAAACTTTATTTTCACCATATGACCTATACTATGTCAATGTGACATAAAACCCTATCAAACAAACATGTTAAAACAGCAGTAAATAAGAAATTTTGTTTTGATATTTAGAAAAGTAAAGTTCGAACCACAGATCGTGCAGTGGAGTTTAGCATAAAGAAAAAAGGTGCTGAGGTGTGGCCACGTTTGACAGAGAAACAAGAGAAGCTGCCGTGGCTAAAAATAGATTTTGATAAATTTGCCTTCGAGGATGAAGACGACTCAGAGGAAGATGCCGACAAATTGGCAGCTGATGAAATCATGAAAAAATTGGAAAAAGATTTGGAGGAAAATCAACGTATGTTCTCCCTATGACAACATTAAAATGTTAACTTATCAAGATGGATATTATCCGAGAAAACAAAAACATATTGTGATATATTATGATATTACAAACCAGTATTATGTTTCATATTGCAAATATTTTGTAGTTTCGTACAAATTCAATCTTTTACCTTATTAATTAACAATCGGTATGTTAATATTATTTTGAGCTCGACTATTTGATAAGAATAAGTAGAGCTATTGTAGTCACCCGAGCGTCGGCGTCCGCGTCGGCGTAACCACTTATGTTAAAGTTTTTGTAATAGTTTAAATATTTTCAAAGTCCATTGACATATGGCTTTGAAACTTTGCACACTTGTTCACCATCATTACCCCAACCTGTGAACAGGAGGAGGTAACTGTATCAAGCATTTTGACAGAATTATGCCCCTTTTTCGACTTAAAATTTACATTAAAGTTTTTGTAATAGTTCAAATATTTTCAAAGTCCATTGACATATGGCTTTGAAACTTTGCACACTTGTTCACCATCATTACCCCAACCCGTAAACAGGAGGAGGTAACTGTATCAATCATTTTGACAGAATTATGCCCCTTTTTTCGACTTAGAATTTATGTTAAAGTTTTTGTAATAGTTTAAATATTTTCAAAGTCCATTGACATATGGCTTTGAAACTTTGCACACTTGTTCACCATCATTACCCCAACCTGTAAACAGGAGGAGGTAACTGTATCAAGCATTTTGACAGAATTATGCCCCTTTTTGGACTTAGAATTTACGTTAAAGTTTTTGTAATACCTCAAATATTTTCAAAGTCCATTGACATATGGCTTTGAAACTTTGCACACTTGTTCACCATCATTACCCCAACCTGTAAACAGGAGGAGGTAACTGTATCAAGCATTTTTTTTTACAATCAAGCACTAAGAATAGTCCAGCGTTGCTGTCCTACCGACAGCTCTTGTTTCTGCAGGGAATACTTAAAAAAACAAAACAATATTAAGCTGCATTGAAAGACACTCAACTTTAATGACCCAATAGCACAAACAATTTGTGGTTTGCTTTCCATTTTCAAACAACATGTTTTAGTGACTACATTACAGGTGTTTTGATTGGTTAAGGGAGAACCCCTAACCAATGAAAGATGCACTTGTTTAAATTAGAAAAGAGATATTGTCATGAAATTTGTGACTATGAATCCAATCGAAATATAGCCCTGATGTAATGAATTGTCTGCTCTGAATTGCAGTAAGGCATATTTGCTCGTAATCATTTCACACCTATTATCTTTATACTTGATGTATGGGATTAATGATCCCAAAAATTTACAGGTACTAATCAGTTATCTTATAATAGGATTTATGTTGTTGAAAAACTTTCATGTACACTTTTGTATTTTATATTTTTCAGCCCCATCTATAGACATGAAGGCTACTTACATATTTACCTACAACTTTCTTCAGTTTGTTGGATTTTTGTATATAGTGATAGTTTTATCTTACAATTTCCTCAAGTATGGCTCAGGTATATTACTTACGTTACTTATTTGTTATTATAAAAACACTATCTTTACATTACCTTTAGTTTAAACATATTAATTTTAGCTCAATTACTGACAAGTGCTTGCCATTTATATCAATCACTTTCGAGTTCGCTTCCTGGAGCTAACTTCCTAGTGTTATATGAGGAACCATGATTGTGACACGAGTAGGGCTCGAACCCATGATCCCTGTGTTCAGAGGCAAACTGACACCTTAACCACTAGGCCACCACTTCCTTTTGTATTCAGTATTTGGATTAACTTTATTTTACTCTAATTTCATGATAAGTTTAAGAACTTTGCCTAGTTTAATTTTTAATATTCTGGAAAATGAGGTATATAAAGCAGAGTGAAGAAAACAACCAGATTAACATCTTAACCTGCTGGCAGCGACTGAATGTACCTTTGTGACCAGTACAAACCAAGATTTTTTCTATGAATTTACAGATGATAACATACATCTTTATGGTAAAATATGATGATAAAATAGAGAAATCCTCATAAAAGGGAGAATTATTAACATAGTGATTTATCTTCTTAATCATTCTAATATACTAGGGTTTGGTTATTATTTCAGCTGCAAAGGAGAGGGCATTTGAGAGTGTAGGATATCAGATAATGTTCTGTCAGACTGCTGCAGTGTTAGAAGTTATCCATCCATTACTTGGTCTAGTCAAGACTGGAGCATTTGCTCCTTTACTTCAGGTGATTAAAACTAGTGTATTATATTTACACGTGATATAAAGGAAGTAAAGAAATAGCATTGTTGTTACTATGCTACTTTATGACATCATTGTTGTTTTTCTCTTATTTCTTTTTAGCTCAACTTTTTCGGAGAAAATTTTTGAGCTATTGCTATTGTCAGGTTGTCATTCCAATTGCTGTTGCCAACCAGAAACTTTAACATTGACATTTTTTGTTTGTTTTTTCTCTATGTATTGTTTTCATACAAGATCTTCAAGTATATCAGACAGAACTTGACCTTGACTCATGTATGATCTTGACCTTAACGGTCAAATTAGATTTTTCTTGATTTTTGCTATAATTGGCTACAACTTTATTTATTTACAGATTTGATTCATACTTAGAAGACAATTTAAATGATATAAGTATAACAGGCAGGAGGGAGTCTAATCTAATCTAATTCTGTTCATAATTATTACAGGTAGTAGGGCGGAATCTTATCCTGTTTATGTTGGTGCTACAGGATGTAAGACTACAGATAGCTCCTGTAGTCTGGTACTTGCTGATGACTTGGTCTACTGTAGAATTAATTAGGTAATATTTACATCTTTGTTTTACAATAATAATTTAAGGTTTCAATATGGCTATGCCTTTCCTTAGAAAAGTAATTTTTTTTAAAGATTTTGTATGACTTAAACACTGTACTTTAATATATTGGAAAGAAAAAATGTAGATCGAGATACATTTAAAAGATAACATGGATTCGCCTTCCTGATTTTGTTTACTTAGATTAAGAATCAAGCTCAAAACTGCTTTTCACAATAGGGCTAAATATATCTGAAATATGTATATCTTGCACAGCTTCAGTAAACGTACATTTTCATATTTACAATTTTGTATTTATTTGTATTTTCAGATATCCATTTTACATGTTTTCTAGTATAGGCATGGATGTTAAAATGATAACATGGTTACGTTATACTGCATGGATACCTCTATATCCATTAGGAATACTTTTTGAAGGTAATGTCTTGCATTGTTTATACCTGGATAGTTAGAACAGAACATTGATATAATCTCGAGACCTTGACCTTGACAGTGTTTCTGCATGAGCATTTAATGTTGTACTTGTAGCATTTGATATCCATAGTATGAAAAAAAAGTATTTAGCCCAATTAGATGTCCTTGATTTAATTCAGACCCAATTTTTAGCTTGACTTTTTGAAGAACGGAAAAGTATTGAACACGGGTTTCATAGTCACTGTCGCACTTTGATTTAGTTCTTGTGTGCAAGTTGGTTTCTCTAGTATTGCATGAGAAAATTGGTTGAAATTTAACAGACTTGTTCCCTATGTTATCTTTATGTGATGGCTTTAAATGTTATCTCTTTTTTTTTTGGGTGCCAAAGTTGAGTGTAATATCTTATACAAGGGCAAATCAGTTCCAGAAATTCAGCAGTTTAAGGGTTAAGTGACCTTATTTTTTTAGCCTTTTTAGCTCACCTGTAACAAAGTGACAGGGTGAGCTTTTGTGATCGCTTTTCGTCCGGCGTCTGTAAACTTTTACTTTAAATGACATCTCCTCATAAACCACTAAGCCAATTTCATCCAAACATCACAGGAATGTTCCTTTGGTGGTCACCTTTGAAAATTGTTCAAAGAATTTAATTCCATGCAGAACTCTGGTTGCCATGGCAACCAAAAGAAAAAACTTTAAATATCTTCTTCTAAAAATCCTGAAGAGCTAGAGCTAAGATATTTGGTATGAAACATCTTCTAGTGAGTGTCTACCAAGTTTGTTCAAATAAAAGCTCTGGGGTCAAAATTGGCCCCACCCCAGGGGGTCATTGATTTTCCCTATATGCATATAGTAAAAACTTTAAAAAACTTCTTTTAAAGAACCCAAAGAGCTAGAGCTTAGATATTCAGCACGAAGCATTTTCTAGTTAGTGTCTACCAAGTTTGTTCAAATAAAAGCCCTTGGGTCAAAATTGGCCCCGCCCCAGGGGGTCATTGATTTTCCCTATATGCATATAGTAAAAACTTTAAAAATCTTCTTTTAAAGAACCCAAAGAGCTAGAGCTAAGATATTAAGCACGAAGCATCTTCTAGTGAGTGTCTACCAAGTTTGTTCAAATAAAAGCCCTGGGGTCAAAATTGGCCCTGCCCCAGGGGGTCATTGATTTTCCCTATATGCATATAGTAAAAACTTAAAAAAATTTCTTTTAAAGAACCCAAAGAGCTAGAGCTAAGATATTTAGCATGAAACATCTTCTAATGGGTGTCTACCAAGTTTGTTCAAATAAAAGCCCTGGGGTCAAAATTGACCCCGCCCCGGGGGACATTGATTTTCCTTATATGTGTATAGCAAAAACTTAAAAATCTTCTTTTAAAGAACCCGAATAGCTAGAGTTTAGATATTAAGCATGAAACATTTTCTAGTAAATGTCTACAAAGATTAAATAAATAATTTAATAAAAGTCCTTGGGTCAAAACTGCCCCTGCCCTAGGTGTGTCATTGTTTTTAACTACGAGGGATGATCCATAAATTAACCGGACTTTGTAAATGATTCTTAACCTGTTAAATAAATTTGCATAACAATACATTGAAAATAAATCGGAATCTATCCTCTAAATGATACAAAAAATACCATCAAGAAATATTAACAAAGAAAAAAGTTATGCTGTTATTGGCATGCACATGTAAAGAAATGCGGCGCACGGTATAACTTTAAAATTGACGTTAACGACGTCACAAGCGTATTGTCCTTAACTGAGCAGATTTTTACTCATTCATGGAGTAGGCCAATATGTGGTACAGTTATGTTATTGATGCGGCGGATCTTCTGCCTTTATATATTTCTGTACAAGTGGGTATCATATCGTATTGTAATAGAATGAATGGTGATACAGAACTCCAATAATGACTCAAACTTCCGTTATTTCCTTCTGTAACTTGATTGTTGAAAAAATCGCACATGCAATTAACTATATTATGTATAAATTACAAATAATGTAAAATAATGATGCTGAATGATAATGTATCATACATACGAAAAAATAACAGAATAATACAACTATGATCAAAATTGTCATTATTTTAAAATAAATAAAACGCATAGCCATTTTGAACAGTGGCTGTTAAATTGTTGACACAATTTCTCCATAACACTACTGCGTAAAATGAGAAAATAATTGATGCAATTGTAAACCAAGAATACAATACATGTAATTAATGCATTAACTATTATCATTTTAAGATCCTCAGAGTTGACTGCACCGTCCCGTAGTTATTATCGAACATCGTTGACAATGTCCGCAGTCAATGGACTGTCATTTTTCAACGTCTTGGCGATTGACGTCACCAACGTCCTTGAAAATGTCTTTTTTCTGTCTCTCCCTTACTTGTTTCTATTTCTCTATTATCTTTTCTTAATCTTTTAAGCTAATCAAAAAATATGCTGTGGCTTTCTGGAACTTTTCCCTTGTTAGCCATAATCTTTTTCTACGTTTTAAACAGTTTCTCGTCTTACATTTGACAAATGTTTCCTATTGATCGATTTTCGAGACATTCCGACGACATAGTTTTAACGCGAGTATTTCATTAACATGTGACATTTGAATTGTGATTGTAAATATAAATATGGTTTAAATGAAGTCATTTTTACTGACAACGTCAAAGATATTGTACATGACGTTTTGGCGTATTTTGAAATCTAAATGTGCCATATTGTAAAATACACGCAGCATAAAGCGCCTCATGTCAAGGCGAATTTACGCACTGCCCCGGGTGTGCGTTACCATGGTTTTTGAATTCGCTGTTACGGACAAGCTATTTGCGTTATCGGATTAGATATAGTATCAGTTTACAGGTATTGTTTTCCGATTAAATGTGATATATAACAATAAGTGATAGGATGAAAATTCTTCAATTGCCAGTCACAGTCCGGTTTATTTTTGATCATCCCTCGTATATGTGTAAAGAAAAAACTTGACCAGCTAGACCTTAGATGTTTAGCATGAAACATCTTCTAATGGGTGTCTACCAAGTTTGTTCAAATAAAAGCCCTGGGGTTTAAACTGGCCCCGCTTCGGGGGCCTATATACAGGTGAGCGACTTCAGGGCCATCATGGCCCTCTTGTTATATTTCACACAGATATTGAAACCAAGGGTTAAGTGACCTTATTTTTTTAGCCTTTTTCATATTTCACACAGATATGAAACCACAGTCTTTTCTTCCAGGTACAGTTGTTATTATGTCAATACCACTGTTTGAAGAATCAGGGAAGTTTAGTCTACAGCTACCAAATGCTGCAAACTTTGCATTTTATTTCCCATGGTTTTTACATGCATACCTTTTAGTGCTTGCTTTAGGTAAGTTGAAATATAAAATATTTTGATAAAAATATATTCCTCAACTAATTAATGAATGTAATAAGTCTTTGTAAAGATAAGGCTGCATATGAGTTGTTCTTTGTAAGATAAGAAAGCTAAAAGCAGGGCCAGCAAAATCTGATTCTGACTTGCTTGTCCCTTTTTTTTTCTGAAGCATTTCTTAACTTGTCTGCATACGGTATGATATTACCGCCTCCGTGGTCGAGGGGGTTAGAGTCAATGACTTCTAATCCAGTTACCTCTCTGGCGTGGGTTCGATCCCCGGGAGATGCTTTGGTAGTTTAGCGCGGAGGAAGGTAGTCTAGTACTGGTGTAACTCTCCAGGAACGATGGTTAGGAAACTACCCGCCTATATGACTGAAATACTGTTGGGAAAGGCGTAAAATGAAACAAACAAACAAAAGTATGATATTTACATAGTAAATTCCCAAAAAATTTCACTTTTGTGGGACAACCTGGGCAATGTAGACAATTGATAGAGTGATAATGGTGCATAAACATTAAAATGGCATTATAATGTTTATGTTCTATCAAAATTAAGGAGCTTAAAGTTAAAAAGATAATCATCACTTATTGGTTAAACAGGGGTAATCACTCAGTAATAGTGCTATATGAATATACTCAATTATTCATTTAAAATGTTTAATTATTTGTACTATTGAACACTTCAATGTTTATTATATAACCTGTAAATGTTTATATGAGCCGCGTCATGACAAAACCAACATAATGGGTTTGGATCCAGACCAGCCTGCGCATCTGCAAAGTCTGATAAGGATCCATGCTGTTCGCTATCAGTTTCTCTACTTGTAATAGGGTTTGTAAGCGAACAGCATGGATCCTGATCAGACTGCGCGGATGCGCAGGCTGGTCTGGATCCATGCTGGTCGCAAACGCACTATGTTGGTTTTGTCATGACACAGCTCAATTATTTTTGTAGGTGGTATACAGATGATGAAACACATGCATATACTACGAAAGAAAAAGCTTGGATCGAAAGATTCTCTGAAGAAAGCAGCGTAGTATCAGCAAAGTTTGTAATAAGTGTATGTTATGAAATAACATTAGGGATATACTTGTACTTGTTTTTATGTAAATTAGATCAGTCATGTATGTCGAAGCAGTTTATTATGGTTGTAATTAGCTCTTTTATTTATGAGTGTGCCATGTGTTTTGTTTCATTTTTAGCTTGACTTTAGGAAGAATAGGGAGAGCTATTACACTCATCCAGCCATTGGCGTCGCATTTTGGTTAAGTTTTTGCTTGCAAGTTATCCCAAAAATACTAATTAGAAACTTCACATACTTGGACCTAGTAATTATCTTACTTGATGGGCACAGGTACCATAACTCATTTACCATTTTACAGAGTAATGCCCCTTTTCCACTGAGGGTAGTTGAGCGCTCTGTCTAACGGACAGCTCTTGTTTGATATAATTATTTACAGTGGTTGTTTAAGACAAAAGTCGCTTAATACACGTGGTCGCATGGGCAAGTTAGACTGTATAAATGGTTATATGAAGTATGTGTTAATATTTTTATATTAAAAATGCACATTTGTAGATTTGTGCTAATAAATATAAATGAAAAATAGTTCAAATAGGGAAAAATGTTGTCAAATGTACAAATTAAATGAATTAACATCACTTTAAACACTTAATGTCCATGGAAATTATTTTGTCAACCTTTTACTTATCAAAATCTTCAGAAATACAAACCCTTTCTCTGATAGAAATGGAGATGAGCTTTGGTAATAAAAATGTGAAATTCTGTCAGTTTGCATAGAATATGAAGTAATATTACTGCCTTACTAGATAATTTCATGTTATGTGTACTTGTTTGTCAGATTTGACAAAAGAAAAAAAACTGAATGATTTTGATTTCTTTTTTGTTGTTGTTTTAATCAGGGTAAGAAATGTTAAAAAGAAGTCTTTTTATTTTTCTTTATTGATTTTTAAAAAAAAATTATATCTTGAAAAATGGACACTGTATTGAGTAAGCATGGTATGTTTGCTTTATTAAGATCTTGATCTCCAGGTATTCTTTTATGCCAAAGAAATTAATTTTTATTGCATTATCATGATTATGTAAAATTTGTGTTACACAGTATGTAGATGCAATTAATAGGGCTTCATATTGAAACTGTACTTTTTTGTTATTCCGAATTATGTCACATGGTATGTGTGGTTGAATATGTTTGAACACTTCTCCCTATGCACAATATTTTGTTTTCTTCTAAATTTTGAAGCTGACTAAACCTTAATTTTTTATTTTAATGTTAAATGTTTTTAGATTAAATAAATGTACTTCACAGGCTTTTTTTACATCATATAGTAGAGGCCTGTAAAGGGTCCTTCCAAATTGAAATTGTCTTTAAAATGATGGAGATTTCACACAAAAATTTGCAATTTTAGTCAGTTTTTTTCCAAAATCAAGAGGCAAAGGCCTCTTCCTAATAAAGGAGAAAAACCTCTGCTTCAAAGGTACAGAACATATTTTCGATATTGAAAAACTGTAAATCTGAGTTATTCCTTTTATTCTTTGGTGAAGAAATTTGAAAAAAACTTTTATGTTAAACCTTAGAAAAATTATAACAAAAAAGTTAAAAGGTCTTGTTGTATTCCTTGGATAAATGATATGTTGAGTAACTTGAATATTTTGTATGTTGTTCAAGATGTGCTTGCATGTATGAGATATTGTTATGACTTAGTAAAATGAGCCGCATCATGACAAAACCAACATAGTGCGTTTGCGACCAGCATGCATCCGCGCAGTCTGATCAGGATCCTTGCTGTTCGCTATCAGTTTCCCTACTTGTAATAGGGTTTGTAAGCGAACAGCATGGATCCTGATCAGACTGCGCGGATGCGCAGGCTGGTCTGGATCCATGCTGGTCGCAAACCCATTATGTTGGTTTTGTTATGACTAAGTAAAATGTTTTAATGTTATGTTTGTTTAATATACTGAAGTTTTAAATTTACAAGATATATGTTGAGCAATTATGAAATTGGTACTTTAATCTGTATTGTCTTCAAATCCGAAATTTGATTTCAAAATTGTAAAAATATATTAAAATAGCGAACTGTAATAAGAAAATTACACTTCAACATCAGGTATATTTATAAAAAAATTATTATTTACCTATTTCAACCCATTATATTTGATTAAATGGTGGCATAAAATGGTAATGGCATAATTAGTTCATTTTCATAAACATAATTTTCTATACTTTTGTAACTTTTTGCTACTCTAATGTTCAAATTTTATTTTTACATTTTCATACCTTATATAATATTGCAGAATAATTTGTTTAAATGTAATCACAAATTGTTCATGTCTTTGTATGTATTTAATTTTGTGCAATAAATTGAAACATTTCCAAATTCTGGATTACCTGTCATACATTATTCCCGTAGTTACATCCAACTTGATCAAGTTAGCCTCTGTTGAAAGCTAAAAACTTTATTTTAACCAGTTCCTGAACCTTAAAGATCCTGTAACACAATTTTTTCATGGTTTTATTTCATAATTTATGATGCTCAAATTAAGATCCAATAAGCATTATTTATAAAGATATTACCCAATTTAACATTTTCATGTAAATAAAGGGAGGTAATTAGAAATTTATTTTCTATAAATTCTAAGTCAAATTTTCCAATAAGAAATGTATGCATGCAATTTATTGATTAAATATAATGTACACAAATATTTGCAGTACACATTTTACATATTTTGATGTTTGAAAATTGTTTTATTTGCATAATTATATACATATATAATTTTTTGCAAGTGTGGTATACACACAGTAACAATATTAATCACAAAACATACAGGATCTTTAACAGTACAAGTTTCTTTGAGAAAATGTGTGACACAAACTCAGAATGACTTTACTTCTTAATCTTCAATAAAAACACTACTGATTTATCATTGGACAATCCTCATGTTTATATTACCTATAAACCTTGCTAGATCAATTTTTATGTAGAATTTTTATTTAAAAAAAACCAAACCCAAAACAAACAAATATGCAATATTATAAATTTGTGTAATATTGTGCCAAACAACTGGTCAGAAATCTTTAAAACCAATCATTTTTTGTTGGCTGTTTACTGATCATGGAAATAGATGAAAATTTTAGTAAGATAAGTATCTTTCATAGAAATGAGATCATGTGTTAATTGGTAGTCATTCATGCAAATGAACACTTTTCAAGTAAAAAAAAACCTAGGCTTATCACTAGTAACATTTAGTAATAATTGAAAAAAAAATTAAAACTATAAATATTATTTTATCAAAGCAAGCATTTATCATTTAGTTATGTTATTTGTGAGATTCAAGAATTCAATAAGTTTTTCTATCATAATATTCCATAGCTGGTACTGTTATTCCTGAAAAGTCATAGTTCATTTGATATTTAACTTTAATACTCTCAGAAATGTAGCAAATATAAATTGTGGCACGAATGTGTAGTTTGTTACGCGACATTTTCAAACCAGTTTTTGTTTGTTTGCATTAACTTTGAACAAACTCTGCAAGAGTCATATGGCAACTTCCAAGCTTTACTGATGGAGGAAGGCCATAGTTGCTCCTTTGTGCATTCATTTATGTAGCAATAGGCACCTGACAGTCCACAAGCTTGTTTGATAGCTTTCTCACATTGAAGAATCCAAAGTCCCTGGAACATTCAAATAAAACCAATTGTTCTCTGCATGGGCAGGCAGATGAACTCAGTTAATACAAGAGTGATAAGTGATCACGTGTGTCGCCTCATGATAGACAATTGCATGTTGTAGACAGAGGAGGGAGAAGTGATCCCTATATGTCAACCACTTATCTGTAGGGGCGAAACAAAAAATGTATGTTGAAGGATACATACAAATGCTTGAGATAAAAAACATTATATGTCACACACTATGACAGTTTATATAAGTACAAACCAATGAATGTTAAAATTACTGTCTCATCAAGACTCCGTAACATAACAGAAAATTGGTTAGTATATTTAATTTAATTCATGCAAGCATTAGCATAAAATGTTGATGCAGAACACAGAAAAATAACATACATGAATAAATATCAACTGATATGTTATTTAAATAATTTTTATTTTTTTATCAATAAATATGTCATCAATCACCACATCAGTAAATTGCTACAAGCATCAATGAATTATGACATTATTTTAAAAGTCAGATTATGCCCAAGCAAGTTACTATGACATCAAAAAGAAATGTTTAAAAATATTCAACAAAATATGCATATTAATATGTCAATATTTTATGATGATTTTCTTCTTTTGGCTAGTTTTATAGCTGTTTCATAGATAACTAATACATGTTAAAATCTTTTTTTTTCAATTTTCATGCTGTAAAGTTAATGAAGCCTATTCATTGATATTTCTCTAGTACGGACCATTGCTCGTGTCTCACTTCACTGAACTTTACACACAGCGATTTGTAGAGTTATACTTGTATAAACTATAACCATATTTACTACTTATTCATAGAGGTTGCTTTTAAATCAAGATCTTGCTTTTGTATTTTATGACAGTATTTAGCTTTAACTCTCGTATAACAAGACATTTGAACTTTTGTCAGTGAAAATATTGCCACAACTTTATTTCATGTTGAATGTTCTTTCAGACTGATCTTTCAGCTAAAGCATTGAACCCACATGTTATTTCCTCAGTTGGTCAATCGCATCTATACTCTTGAATTAAAATGCCCCCTCTTAAAATTGTGGGAACATTCTGAGAGTGGGTGCATTATATATGTTACCTCTCTCTTATCCAAATGAAACTTTAGAAGGAAAAGCTGTGGTTTATGTAACTTGGTAAATACATTGCCAATGGCCAATAGATGACCTATATTAATTTAAAGGTCAATAGATCAAAGGTCAAGGTTACTGTGGCCATGACTACTAAAAGATTGTCCGACAAGTAACTATGAATCACTTGGCTAACAGTCCTAAGATTTAGTGTGAAGGTTGGTTATGACTAGTAGATTTTGTAGATATTCCCTATTGAATTTGAGGTTAGTAGGCTAAAGTTCACATTGACCTTTCCAATTTAAGCTTGTACATGTATGACTAATAGTTAGGAAATGTTTTTGGCCTACAGTCCTGAGAGTTGGTGTAAAGGTTGGTAGGGACTAGTAGATAACTCCTATTTATTTTGAGGTCAAAGGTCAAGGACACTAGTAGATGACCCCAGTTGATTTTGAGGTCATTAAGTCAGGTCACAGAGGCACTTTCTCCTATCAATAACTTGTGAAGGAATCAAGGCAAGTTTGTTTTTTTTAACTTAGTATGGATATTTCCTTTGATAAGTAAATGAAATCTATGGATTTTGAGATAATTAGGGCAAGGTACACACCATTTTTTTCAGGACTCTAGTTACTGGTGTAGCAAAGTGTGGTCTATAGATTAACCTGATAACTGAGGGACATCATACAAAGCAGGATACAATGTATAATAGGAGTTAAGAAGATAAATCTTCAGGTTGCACTCTTAAAAGTAAATTTTTCATACCTATTTTTGCCCATGTGTAAATTCATCAAATCAAGAAAAGAGGTAGATGCGGCTTAGTGCTTAAAATATCTGCCTCTCATCCAGAAAATTGTGGGTTTGAGCCATCATGGAGTCACAATTATGTTTCCTCAAAAAATCATAAAATCAACCTGTACTGGTTAGCTAAACACAAATAAACACAAGAATGGTTCATATAAGCTTTAAACTTTAATCACACACTAACTAAATTAATTATTTTTTAACAAAATCAAGAAATTTACAACAAATTTTATTAACAACACAATACATTGCAATATAAAAACATTACAACAGTAACAATATTGCACAATCTTAATAGCTTCTAGCACAAGTTGATGACCTATCAATTGGCCTGTGGTGCCAAATTTTTGGCAGAAATACCTTACCTTTTTTTAACTTTTTTTTTTAAAGACCTATTTGCTCTAGCTTTAAAGGAGCTCTACTGAGGACAAAAATCCTAAAAGCACAAAATTTGAAATTCTTATATAGATCATGTGATGCACTAAAAATGGAAAAATCTGTAACAGATAATTCTGAAATATACTCTAGAGTTAAATTGAAAATCAATTTTTTGGCTCGACTTTTAGCATGGCTTTATTGAAAAGCATTAAACACATTCATTGTGGTCATTTTGCACAATATAAAAAATTATCCTGGGAAATTGGATTAAGAGAATGATCTGAAACTTTGCACACAAGTCGATCGAGACCTACATCAAAGTACACAAGTCTCTAAAAAAATATTTTAAGTGTCTTCATTTCATAAAACCTTAGTGGAGTCCCTTTAAGGTGATATTTAATTCTTTATATCAAGTAGCACTTTCAGAAATATCCACCAGTGTTTTGGTGTCAGCATCAGTGTTTAATTGATCACTATTGCTTGTGTTTGTAGGTTCACCTTTCTGTCTATCTAATGTGTTTTGTACTCCTGTAGTGGATACCACAGTTGGTGTATCATTCCCATGATGTATTACAGAATTCTGGGATGATTGGCTTGTTTCCGTGGCAACATCATCCTCTATTTCCTCCTCATCTTCTAAAATTGGAGCTGAACTTCCGCATACTAAAAGATCACAAAGAGGGATAAAGAATTATCTTAACTTTTTTAAAATATCAATTCATCATTCTGCTGGTAAAAACTTTCTGTTTATATTTTTGGTTACAAAACTCAGATATGTGGTTCATTTACAAATCATTATATGTATTCAAAAGGATTTGACATGACTGCATATTGTTCAGAGTTTAATTTAATTTTAATATAGTGGGGAAGTAAAAAACTATGTCATGGTTCAAAACTGTTCACCATTATTTAGGGGAGAGGTGTAAGCGACCAGATAACTCGGTCGGTAGAACCATGGAACAGTATTTTAAGGGTCCCGGGTTCAAGTCCTGGTCAGGCTGTCATTTTTCTCACCATGTGAAACTTAGAAAAAATTTAATTCAGCTTTTTTAAACAAATTTACCTTTGAAAGATTCTGGGTATGACTTTCCAAGCTTATCTTTGATAACCCTGCAATGAATACACAGTAATATTCATTAAAGAAATCTTCATAAAAATTCAATGCACACTTGTTTTTAAACCTTTGTACCAGGATCATCCAATCATTCTAACTAAATAGAAAATAAATCTATATATTTCTTAAAAATTTGTGTTATGTTGAGTAATAGCAACAATACCAAAATGCTGTCAAAATGCAATTCACAATAAGGCGCTAAATTATAAATTGTAAATAAAGGATCCATAACTTAAAGGTTTTAAAATGCAAATAACAATGCAGATAAAAGATTTAATAACAAGTAATTTAGACAAAGTTTATAGTAAATACATAAATTGCATTTAAATGGTCAAGTGAGTGCTAATTACAATTTTTAAGTACTTTGGAATTAATTCCATTGAATGGGGATGCTGCAAATACAATACAAATACATGCAACAACTTTCTTCATGTAAATGTTGCCAATTATTATTTACTTTTTCTTTTTGCATGAATGAAAAATCATTTATTTGTCACAGGGTATAATACTTGGCAAAAAAAGAAATTGCATAAAACTATCAGTACATGTATATATTTGCATGATACAGTATATCATTGCCATCCAATACCTTCTCTAATCAAGGGACTTTCTTTAAAGCAAAAAAAATTCAAATATGTTAATGAAATTAACGTGACTTAAAATCATTCAGCAAAAAACTTACCTTATCCTTTTGAAAATGGAGTCTAAATCCTTTTTCATTTCATACATCAGCTGTGTATGTCTCCTGAACTGCTGGCTTGTTATTGCAAATCTATTTGCTGACAGTATGTTGAAATTTATTAACATCTCATTGGTCTTTTCAAATCTTGATAACCTGTCAATGTAAAATCATTTTTTCTAATTGCCTGCCTGAAACTCATACAAACTTATCTCCACTTAAATAAAGTACTTTTTAGATCATGTAAGGCATTAACTGAATGATGCATCTAGGCAAAACTTTATTTGTTCCGTAATTATTTTGCAAAGTGCACTTTACAGGTATGTTACAATTATCAGATTACATTGTCTAGAATCTGTATACAGTAAGTGTAGGCAATATGAATCTAAGGCAATCCAAATCACATCATTCAATTTTGTTTTTATTCATCAATAAAAACAACATGATATGTTTCTATTGTATCCATAGACGAAAAAATCAGTTGATATAAGTTTTAAAAAATCAGCACCTGTGTGTAAGGAAATATATATTTTCAGTGATCCAAGAAGTACTTGAATGACGAGTTGTTTAGATAACCTTTTTTTTAAATGAAGGCTTTAATATTTTCAAATGATCTTTTCTGTAGTTACTGTTTAATGTTTGTCTAATGTACAAGATACCTATACAGATAGGTGGCACGATAGTTAAACCACTGATTATCACTCCTGAGGTCCCGGATTTGATCCTAGGTTACACTCTTGGGACTTTTCAGAGACACTTTCAGTGTTTCCCACCTACCTAGAGGTGTAATGGTAAGAAATACAGGTAATCCTTGCATGTATCAGTGCTATACACTGGGCATGTAAAAGAACCAAGGTGTCTATTCAATAAGAGCTAGGGACTGGTTCCCGGATCCCTTGTATCTCATAGCTGTCTCTTTAATGTATACAATGTATACCTGCTAAGAGTGATCGTAAACAATTTGTTCTGAAATTATCAATTGAATTTTTTTCATGTTGATTTCTGTATTTTCATTCATCAGTATTTAACGTCAAGATTTCAAGAAAACTTCAAATGGTAAGCAGTGTGACAATTCTGCAATGTTTGGAAAAGAAATGACACCTGTTGCTATTAGAATTATGTTATATGAATAACAACCTAATGCACTCCAAAAATATTGCAAAAAATTAACGCTTTTCATAAGGTGATCCAGATTGCCTACACTGATTGTACTTGAATAGCTGCTAGCATGAAGCACTAATTAGCTTTCATCCGAAAATAGTCTATCCGAAAAAGTGATTTAAAGGATAAAGTAGATGTAGCCAAATACAACATTCTTACATATCTCTTTGTACGTCCACCATATTACTGACAGATTCCGTGTCTATCTGGTCCATCAAAGCTGCAGCAAACGTTTCAGCAGCGTCATAATCTTCGCTGCAAACTGAGGTAGGTGAAGCCATTTCCTATTTTTGAAGAGTTACTTCCCCTTATGGATTGAAGTTCAACTGCAACAGTTATTACTTCTTCCCTTCTAAATACAATGCCTTCTAATGTACATTTATATTATATGAGGATTGTCACAAAAATTTCAAGAAGGTAGATCTAGAAGTGTAGATCTATTAAGAATTTACGAAAGCCACTTTTCTGTACGACATAGGCCTATCCATAGGCACTTGGTTTCGGGATAAAAAGCCTTTTGAAGGGTTTGTATAACTTAAATTGGATTGAATGTAACGATTTTTTAACGTAGACGTCTCGATTCTAAATTCGACATTTTTTCCGATATTACTAAAAAAAACAGGCTTTTTATCCCGAAACCAAGTGCCTATGGGCCTATCCATACAAATAATCTGAGATTAAACCACGTAATTTGCAGGCCTACTGTATTAGATCTACTGTACAGTACACAGACACTTGGGGTTTGGAGCTCAAAACGCCTTTAAAATCCAAATAAAATGCATATTTGTCAATCCCAGGACATGTACTGATCATATATATCAAAAAATCTTAATATATGCCGTTTTGAAAAAAAATCATATTTCAACAACTATAATAATACACACTTGGGGTTTGGAGCTCAAAACGCCTTTAAAATCCAAATAAAATGCATATTTGTCAATCCCAGGACATGTACTGATCATATATATCAAAAAATCTTAATATATGCCGTTTTGAAAAAAAATCATATTTCAACAACTATAATAGTCTATAACTATATAGCATATTATGGACTGTTTTTGAAATTGGAATTTTTAATTGGAATATAGTATATAAGGAAGATTGGTGTGTAAAGAGGTCAATTTAGCACATCTTCAACGCAAATTTCACACTGGCCCAGGGCCTATGGTATTATGTGTCCCCTGGTATTACTGTATGACTCTCTGAGATGGACTATTTATAAATGGTCAAAATATTCCTGTATCCCTCTGTATGACCCTTGTGGTATTGTGTGTCCCCTGTATGACTGTATGACTCTCTGAGATGGACTAAAATAAACAAAATATTCATGTATCCCTCTGTATGACCCTTGTGGTATTGTGTCCCCTGTATGACTGTATGACCAACAAAATTCATGCATCAAATATTTTTTTTGGAAAAAAGAATACGTTGTCTATTAAAACATTGTGTAACCATAAGTAACCAATGTAACCCTTGTATCCATGTATCCCATTCTAAACAGGGATGAAAAAGAATTGTGTTTTTAGGACATATCTAGTATTTTGTGATTATTTTATTCCCAAATGCAAACTATATTTAGCTCCATGCCAAAAGTATCAACGAGTTTCGGGCTAGCACAGAGCTATATTTTGTATTAATTAATAAGTCGCTGGTGTATGTGGTACAGCCAGATATAAAGTAGGTACACAAGCCATGTTTTTATTTATTTATCGAGTAACCCAATCTACTTTATCAGTGTTTTATCTCTAAAGACTTCAACACCAAAAACCAATTACTTGGACATCCATTCTCTCGTGCAATTAACTAGACAGTTCAGATGTAGATCTCTATTCAGAAAAAAAAAACAATAAGTAGATATAGATCTAACACAGATGTCAAAATGCTTTTCTTTAAATCCTTTTTAAATATTTTTGTTAACTCAATTGACACGCTCTGTGTTTAAGTCCATTAATATCAAAACTGAAAGCGTCGGAAAAATCAAACGCCAACTAAATATATACAGTACAGGTAAAATATGCAAATGAAGATATCACGTGACACAAACCGCGGGATTTATCGCGAGAGAATCGGCCATCTTTACCGGTAGCAGTGTTTGTGATAGTTTTGTTTGTTCAGCAAATAGGAGTGATAATAGGAACTTAATTTAGGAATTGATAGTCAAATTTAAACATGGCGTCTAGACAGAGTCGGAAATCAACGACGACGACGGTCACAGAGTCAACGTCGGGAGAAACGCCAAGGGCCGGCGTCTCACCGGGTCGACGAGCACGCTCACCATCCCCCGCTCGTATCACGCGGATGCAGGAGAAAGAACAGCTTCAGAATCTTAATGACAGGTTGGCGGCGTACATTGATAGAGTGCGTTATTTAGAGACTGAAAATAGTAGATTACTTGTTCAAGTCAGATCTTCCGAGGAAACAGTCACTCGTGAAGTTACAAACATCAAATCACTTTACGAATCTGAGCTTGGAGAGGCTCGCAAGCTTCTGGATGACACAGCGAAAGAGAAAGCGAAATTACAACTAGATGCAAGCAAATACAAAACTGAAGCCGATGATTGGCAGGCAAAGTAAATAACAGTTTCTTGTTTCATTTTATTCACGCATGAAATATAGCACATTTTATTTATTTAATTAAGTTTGACAGGTATAGATCTATAATATTATAGTCTGTTTCATAGTATAAATATTAAATAAAGACTAATAAAAATGCATATTAATAGTACATGACATGTCATCTACAAATAGTATGTTCTTAACAAATTCATGTCACAGATTATTTCAAAATATTTGTATGTTTACAAGACAGATGATCATAGATAGATATTATATTTAAATTATGTGATCTACTTTGTAATGATTTATTAATATAATAACCATTTGATTCTTATTAGTTATATTACTATTAGCAGTTGTTATTTGTATAATTTAATGACATATGTCATAATGTAATAATGATTGATTATGTCTATTTTACTTTTCATGATAGAAAGTCCTGACAGTATTTAATCTGTCTTAGTATTGGTAAAAGATATACGTTACAGATATTGTATGAATTCAAGTAGACAATTTGTTTGTTTAAATTGAAATTCAGTTAGAATCTTGTATTGTGACCTATCCCAAAGCAGATATCATGTAATGATGTATTGTAGTAGGAATGTTGTTCAAGTGTGCAATATATTATGAGCAGTATGTCCTGTTAATAAATAATTAATAGGCAGGTTTATAGTAATAACAAACATCCTTATCACATACAATAGTAGAAAAGCCATGACTTACTCGCCCACATTTTTATTTTCAAGTGCACAATTCTATGCATACTATTTTTTCAACATTTTGTGAATGCCACCAACATGAGTCACTGAACAAAAAGGTGTTGAAAAAAGGTCCAGATGGAAAATTTACTGTGATAAAGTTATGGAACATATTAAGTGATTTAATTAAAAAATAGCTTTTATTGATAAGGCCTAAAAAAAAATTGTTTTGTTCAGGTCACCCGACCCTACCTAATAATTTACGCCGACCCTACCGTTTTTTATCGATGAAAATACCGTATTATTGAGGTACGGTACAGGTTTTATCGCCGCTCTTAGTTACAAAATGGCGGATCACATCGTCAATATTTGTAAAACGGCGTGTGATCTTCACCAAACGGCAGAACGCCGAGAGTTTAAGATAGTTACACCTTAAATGTCTTTTGAAAACATTGAAGGGATGTATTTGTGCCACCCGGGAGGGATGTCAGAAATTTCCATATCTACATCGGAAAAGGGTCCATGGACGGCGTTAAAGGAGGACAATTTGTATGACGTCCCGGTCCTTGAAATTCTTGAATGAATAAAAAAAAAACATCCTTGAGAGCATGTTACCCTTACAAAACTGTTTTTTTAGGCCTAGATTTTTAATTCTTATTTTCTTACAGGGCCAAAACACCAGTTTTGGGGAAGGGGCCTCAGCCTTTTTCTTGAGGAAAATATGCATGATTTTGGCATACTTTGGGATAATGGAACTCAAATTCAACACAAATTTTTAACAAGTTCTATTAAATAATGGTAAATAAAAAGTCACTCATGATACAAAGGCAGTAAATCTGTCCTTGAAAGAATTCAAATTTTGAATTCTACTTGGCAACAGATTGGTAAAATAACGTTGCAATATTGTAATTTCAATAGCAATCGATTTTTCAATTGTTCAAACTTGTTTTTATATATCCAAAAATATCAGTAGTTGTAGGATTTTTAATTTGCAAAATTTGGTAGCCTTAAGGAGAAATTAATAGGGGGTTTTAGTACTTCCTAAATTTTGAAAACTGATTGTTCGCCCACTTTTTAAATTTTGTGCAAATTCTATGCAAATTTCAACAGGGGTTTTGAATGCTTATAGTTTGGTTTAGGAAAAAGTTAGCCATATAATGGATTTATTAAAGAATAGCTTTTTTTAGGCCCTTTTTTCTTATATAAGGTATTTCCTTTAAACAAAAGCATGTTGATGCAGACTGACAGTCAGTAATTTTATAATGAAAAATAAAAAAAAACCCAGACATGTTTTAATATTAGGAATGTATTCATTTACTGGTAGTGTTCTATGTAAAGAACAAAAGGTCTGCTATGCAAGTGCAAACAATCACAATGTACTATGCATATGTTATCAAGCGTTTCACAAGATACTAAACTGCAAAAGTCTGTTTTTGCACTGACTGAGCCAAACTTCTTTTGGGGGGCTAAGCTTTACAAAAAAGTACTGTTAAATTTTTTCTTTTACAAAACAAAAATTGTTGATGTTTACTAGTATATTTGTAAACACTTATTTTGCTGGTACATTTGTTTACATGAAAATTTTGCTGATAGATAAAATAGACTCCAGGTCATTGAAAACAATCAAAACATTATTCAATTTCTTATATGGTCTGTAAAAATTATTGAATGACAGTATAAACTATAAACAATCTATAGATTTAAAATCCCTATACAATTGTAACCAAAAATAAGCATTTATTCAGTTAACTTTTTTCAATGTACAGTGTTTAAGAAGTAGAAAAAATAAGGATTATTAAGCTTACAACCAATGGGGGCTACTAGTAATGAGAATTTTACAAGCATGATGAAAACATTATTAGTAGTTTGCTATCAGGTTAGTGCTAATTAAAGCTATAATATAATTGTTCTCAACTTCTGTCTATTAGTCAGCTTGAATTCTTCCTAAAAAGCAGTTATATGATATGCTGAAGTTAGGTTCAATAAAGAGTGTAAAATTCTCTGTAACTTTATAATTTTCAGTTTATATTTTTTATTTTAGTAAGAATTCTAATAACACTTTAAACAATTTGATTTGAACTTTATTATATTAAAAAAAAAAAATTGTTACGGAAATGAGAGACCGCAAAAGCATATATAAATCTTTTTATGTCATCAACTTCTATTAACCCTCTTTTGAAGTAGGTTCAAAACATTAGTAGGTTGTAGTGTAAGTAGCGTCTTTTACAGATGAGTAAGCAAGTGAAAGATTACTCTGATTGATAGTTTAGCGTGGGAGCATGTTGTGAAGTTTAGTCAAGCGTGTTAAATATTCACATCTTGTAGGTCATAACTCATAAGTGGTGTTTATGTATGAAAACTGCTGTTTTCATCATTTAATTTTGGTAATGAAGCTGAACAAGAAACTTCCATAGCTGTGCCTAAACAATTTCAGCCAATTTTTTTTCTCACTTGTTTGATTAGCGTTAAACAAGAATGCCTCTAGATGAGTATGATGAATCTTCAAGAAATAAAATCAAAGTTAAGAAAAATAAATTTATATTATAAGAAATGTTTAAGATATGTACAGTCCTGGTCCCTCAACCTTTTTGTGTCCACCAGAAAAACATATTTGGATTTTAAGTTAATGCTGACTACTTATATAAATATACAAAGCAGTAGTGATAGGTTTTATGAGTGGTAGTAGATTTATTATAGATCTTTTAGTGTTTACAGATAATAATTTACTGCTTAATACATTACTAGAAAGTAAACAGTTTTTATGACTCATGTATGACTGAAGTTGTCAAGCATAGCTATAATCTGTTGTGGCTGAAGTGTGGACAATGCTGTTTTCATTGTTGTTAGGACTGGTCAAATTGTGTCAAAACAAGATGACCAAGTTGACATTGGATCATAAAATATTTGCACCAAAGTATGAGCAGTTGATGGTCAATATGTCCCTTGTGGTCGTTTTACACACTGGGTTTATATGGTTTTAGACTTAAATTGACACAAGATTTTCTCTTAACAATATCTTTTCACATCTAATAAGGCATATATCAAAAGAAAATATTTTTGGCATGTTGTTGGAAAAATGAGATGTTTAAAACATTTTTTTCAAGAAATTAATAAGTATGAAAATAACACTAATTTATTAAAAATTCCAAGGTATAATGCCATACTTTTATCGATTTATTCTTTTGTCCATTCTGTCAGATGTAATTAAAGTACTGGCACATTTTATGCTTGCTGCTAATTAATTAAAGTTGGGTTCTGCCAATACCTTATTGTGTTGGAGAAATGTTTGGTATGCAGCTGAATTCAGCCATGACATTTTATGTTGGGAGATTGTCATAAAACTTGCTTCAGGTTTGATGTGTAGTAGTTAATGACTGAGTCTTTACCATGGTTAAACAATTTAGAAATATAAAATTGATTTATTATTTTTCATTTTTTGAAAAGAGCGCATTCTGTCATGTGGCCAGGTTATAGTTTTGTGAATATGCAAAATACAATTTGAAACAGGCTATAGTTCTTCTGCTTCATTTACTTTATTCAATGCCTGGGGTTAAAGAAAATAATACAGAGTAAGACCTTATTATAACATTAGGGTGAATTGCAAGGCTAATAATGTTATAGTAGCTTGTATAGTAGAAAGATTTTGGCTTAAGTCCTTTGGCAACTGCTAAAATTTGTTATGTAATATGTAGTCACTGTAAGGTGTGGTATGAAAGGGATTTTTTGATAAAATCTTACCATGTGCTTTACATTAACCTTGAAAAAGTCATTGTCAGTATTTATCAGTGGGTGCAAATAAGAGTGTGTTTTTTTTTGTTTTTGCTTTTTTTGTCAGTTAAAGAATAAAATGATTTTTGAAGCATTTACTTTGTTATTTTGATAATCTCAGGAAAAAAAGTATTCCATGATCGTACTATTTTATCAATATAATCTTAAATTGTTAAAGCAAGATTTAATGTCATTTTGATTTGTTTGCAAAGGAAATTTGTTAGCATTTTAGGAAATTGAAATATTTTTCAATTGAATTTTTTCCGTAGTTGAATCCACTTTTAAGTCATAATAAATGCTTTGGTTTCTTTTCCTTTATATCAAAATATGTCTTATTACTATATTTAACTCCTCAACTTCATTTAAGTGGGATTCATTTTTGTGTTATTAAGGAATGCAAAAAATGTATTGAACACAGATATTAGGTAACATGTTAAGATATTTTTTGACAGTTATAAGTGTTTGAATTGAAATTTACATGCAAGTCAGACTAGTAAATAAGCAATTTTCACTGTAATTCGTAAATTTTGAATTTTTACTAGCCTTAAAAAATAAATCTACTTATTTCTGCTCTCAGTCTTGTCCAATTTTGTACCACTGCTTCGAAATGTTGCATTTATGGGAAATAAAAACGGCTAAATGGAGCAGCACCTTCATAAATTGCAATATTCAATGTGTAATTATGTATACATGAACATAATAAGACTTGCATCCATATGTTCTTGATCTTGCGCAATACTTCAAACTGGGATGATTGGTAAGCCATGCCTCTTTAATTTTGTCGGGGGGTTTTCACCTTATAAAACTGAGACCTATTATAAAAGCATCTTCCCAATAGAAATTTTCAATAAATTTTGCAGTTTTCAAAATATATAAAAAAAAATTGACCAGGTTTTTTTAACTTTTTACTTTCTCAATTCAGCAAGTTTAGCAATAATTCTTTCTAAAATCAAAAGGCTAAGGCCTCTTCCGAATCAAGAGAGAAAAACTCTAGATTTGTCCTAGAAATTGTTCTTTACTTTGCCATAGTAGCATGATGTTTAAGACTTAATGAAGCTTCATGATTTTCTAAACTTTCTTCCTGCTCATAACCAAAATAGTATTGTACTAGACCACTATTTGCTAGTTTAACACATTTGTTATATTTGCTTCCAGGTTTAACAGAAGGGACCGTGATGCTAAAAATGCTGATAAGAAGAATTTAGAGCTACAGACGGAGCTTGGTGATCTACAGGCTAAGCTGAATGATGCAGAAAATAACCGTAAATATGCAGAAGGAGAGGCTGCAGTAAGTTCATATTAATTATCATAATACTATGCAAAGTGTTGGGGTTTTATATAACTTGAAAATAGATTTATTTCAGTGTAATATTACTGACTTTTCCTTTCATAGAATGATACATATAATCCAGGGTTTTCATTTATATCTGAGGCAATAGATGTGCCAACGAAAACAACTGATGTAGCTAAGGATATTTGAATCTATAGTAAAATACAACCGATTTTCACAGCATTTTAACCGATGATATGATTTGCTAATCTGTTAATAACAAAAACCCTGATAATCAAAACTGAAATAGTTCATCAATTCATGTATTATTTTGCACTTGGTTAACAACCTTTAGATGTTATTTTAAAAGTTGTTTTTCTTGCTAAAAGGCATTAGTGAAACCTTGTTTGGTTTTCTTTTGTTCAGCGTCTTAGAGGTGAAGTTGCCAGTCTTGAGAGGCAGCTTAAAGAATTGAAGAAGCAGTTGGAGGAAGAAACATTAAAGCGTGTAGATCTAGAAAACAGAATACAGAGTCTGAAAGAGGAGCTAGCCTTTAAGAGTCAAGTGTATGAACAGGTAATTAACTTATTAGTCCCCTACCGGTTTAACCGGAGGGGACTTTAGGTTTACCCTCCGTCCGTCTGTCCGTCTGTCTGTCTGTCCGTCTGTCTGTCCGTCTGTCTGTCAGTCTGTCAGTCCGTCAGTCCGTCCGTCCACAAAACTGGATCCCGCGATAACGCAAAAAGTACTGAAAATATTTTTATGAAACTTGATATATGGATAGATGGCAGTATGGAGATTATGCACGTCTTTTTTTTTTCTTCCTATGTTGAAAATTCTGGTTGCTATGGCAACAAATAGTCTGAAAATATGGCAAATTTAACACATAAACTGGATCCAGTGATAACTCAAAAAGTACTGAAAATATTTTTATGAAACTTGAAATATGGGTAGATGGCAGTCTGGAGATTATGCACATCTTTTTTCTTTTCTTCCTATGTTGAAAATTCTGGTTGCTATGGCAACAAATAGCCTGAATTTCAAGATTTCTGATTTAAATTTTTCAGCTTTTTCACTATATGTTCTTTATTTCTTAAGGTGTTTACTTCAAACTTTAAATATAAGTTCCTGGTCATCAACCACATCATATGTGACAAGGTTTATAACTCTAGCACAAAAAATATCAATATTACCTCCTTGAACTTAGATTTTTTAGGGGAAAAAATGTTGTCTTTTTTTTAAATAACTTCTTTATTTCCTAATGTATCTACTTCAAACTTCATATATATGTTTCTTATTATCACTCGACATTTTTGAGAAGGTTAAATACTCTAGCAAGACTATTTCCAGAATTATGTCCCCCTTGAACTTAGATTTTTTTCGAGAAACTGGTATTTTCACTCCAACTTCTTCATTCCTTATAGGATTTACTTTAAAATCCCACATCGTAATAATATGACAAGGTTGTATAAACATAATTTCCTTACTAAGCATGGAAACTTAACACATTACTGTGATATAGACAAACTTATTTTATTATGTTTTGTGGTCGATATTTTCAAATACAGACTTCATCCTCAAATTCATTATAAATGGCAATACACAGGAGTGTATGACAATTAAAGAACTTTTTGAGGGACCGGTAGGGGACTACTGTATTGCCCGCAATACTATCAAATGCTTGTTTATTAAGACAAACTGTTGAACTTTGTTTAGTCTAAGTTGAAGGGACTTGCTTTAAAACTTTAAAACACTAACACTGTGATATGAACTTGTGTACTGAGCAGATTGTCAAGTTGTCGATTCACAAATTCATTATAAAATAAGGCATTATAAAAGGACAGGCAAGATCTTTACCAGTTTACAGTAAATATATCATTTGAGATTATAATAAGATATCAATCTGTTAAAATGTATATAGAATATTTAGGGCAAGCATTAAACAATAACAATTAACTATAACATTTGATAAAGACAAGTTTTTGCATGTAAATAAATGGTCGAACATTAAGATCAGATAATTTATTATGTTAAAGGAATTGAATGAAACACGTACAAGAACAACTACGCAATATGATGAGATTGATCAAGGAATACGAGAAGATTATGACAGTAAACTCGCTGATGCACTGCAACAAGCCAGACTAGAACATGATGAAGCTATACGTCAAACACATGAGGAACTGGAGGAACTTTATGCTACAAAGGTTAGTCAGCAATTTTGCAATTGAAAAAACAAAAGAAAGAAACACAGAACTTACTCAAATTAGTGGTAGCTTTCGGACATTTAATGGTCAAAATTTGTTCCCATTCCTGTATTCTAAATATATTTATTTGTCCTACCTTTGGCAAATGGCAAATTTACTCTTGAAAAAAAAAAAATTATTAACCCTTTACCACATATATACGCGAAACAACGCACTTTCGACCCCCCCCCTTTTTTTTAGGCCTCAAATAGTGAAAAAATGTCCTATTTGGGCCCCAAACATAAGGTTTCTTTTGAGAAATGTTGCTAAAAAAATTGAGCACTTTTTCGGCGCCGCCCCCCATCCAAAAGATACATCAGGGGGTTGCCAGAAGGGGGATGTACCCCCTTCTGTTAGGGGGGTTTGAAGGGGGGCGGAGTCCCCCTCATCGCCAAGAAAATTTTGCACTTGTGAGAGGCTAAAAATGGCCCCAGGCCGATCATAATGTAACGTTTAACCAACGCTGAAAAACATTTGACTCTATCTCAATCCCTTGAGCAGTTGCAGCACTTTGAAATAAATTTTGATGGAAAAAATCGAGGCAAAATAGTGATTTTTGGCAATTTTGAGATGTCCCCTCGTTGCCATGGTAACAGGAAATTTAAGACTGAGCATGTCGTTACAAAGGCAACGGTCCAGTCAACATTTGTGCCAAGTTTGATTAGTATTGAAGCATTTTTCATAGTTTCATAGCAGTTTGAACTTGTAACAGGAGGCTTTTCAGTGAAAACGGCCATTTTTCACAATATGCTCATGGGGGAAAGGGTTAACTAAAAAAATTATAAATGTTACAAAACAACAATTTTTCACCAAAATTAGGTGAAAGACCACATGTTAACATGGAAAAACTAGTTTTTAGGTGATTCCAAAGTTTTTCATCATTTTTTGTTAACCCTTTACCACATATATAACGCGAAACAACGCACTTTCGACCCCCCCCCCTTTTTTTAGGCCTCAAATAGTGAAAAAATGTCCTATTTGGGCCCCAAACATAAGGTTTCTTTTGAGAAATGTTGCTAAAAAAATTGAGCACTTTTTCGGCGCCGCCCCCCATCCAAAAGATACATCAGGGGGTTGCCAGAAGGGGGATGTGCCCCCTTCTGTTAGGGGGGTTTGAAGGGGGCGGAGTCCCCCTCATCGCCAAGAAAATTTTGCACTTGTGAGAGGCTAAAAATGGCCCCAGGCCGATCATAATGTAACGTTTAACCAACGCTGAAAAACATTTGACTCTATCTCAATCCCTTGAGCAGTTGCAGCACTTTGAAATAAATTTTGATGGAAAAAATCGAGGCAAAATAGTGATTTTTGGCAATTTTGAGATGTCCCCTCGTTGCCATGGTAACAGGAAATTTAAGACTGAGCATGTCGTTACAAAGGCAACGGTCCAGTCAACATTTGTGCCAAGTTTGATTAGTATTGAAGCATTTTTCATAGTTTCATAGCAGTTTGAACTTGTAACAGGAGGCTTTTCAGTGAAAACGGCCATTTTTCACAATATGCTCATGGGGGAAAGGGTTAAATAAATGAATAATCATAAAGCAAAATTTAACCTTGGAAAAAAATGATGACAATCTAACAAAAACTTTTAATATTTTTTGTAGTTCTTGTATCTGGACATTTTTTAACACATTTTCATGAGAGGAGAATGTTATTATCAATAATACTGCTTTTACTTATTACCCTTTAATAGTTATTGGTACAAAATATTACCCTCATAATTGACCAGCCATAAGTGCTGAAAAATTTCCGCTAATATTTGACTTGCCAATATTTTCATTATGTATTTATTATAAATAGTGAAATATTATTTTTAAAAATGTTTACTTTTATGTTTAATATTGAAAGTGTATTGATTTAAATGTAATTTTTAGAATTGAATGATAAAAATATCATTCATCATTTGTATGAAATAACTATTTTTGTTTGTTGACTTAACGTTAAATACAAACATTCAAGTAAGATACAGATCAACTATTCAGCTTAAGATATGCTTAACTTTTATTTGAAGGTTCAGGTTACATAATATGATTCGAAGAATTTGATGTTGATGGCAAAAATAGAAATGTTTTCCATAGAGATATATTTTCTTTGAAATAGCAAAAAATAATAATTAATGTTCACATTAATTACAGTTTTGTAGCAAAAATAAAAATATTTGATCTTTGTTTGTGTTCCTAAACCTGTAAATGAGCCGCGTCACGACAAAACCAACATAATGGGTTTGCGACCAGCATGGATCCAGACCAGTCTGCGCAGTCTGATCAGGATCCATGCTGTTCGCTTACAAACCCTATAGCAAGTAGAGAAACTGATAGGGAACAGCATAGATCCTGATCAGACTGCGCGGATGCGCAGGCTGGTCTGGATCCATGCTGGTCGCAAACCCACTATGTTGGTTTTGTCGTTACGCGGCTCAAATAATGATGTGTACACAAGGTATATTATTAAGACAATTGCAAATAGATAAATAGATTTGTATACTTTTATAACAGTATCTGGTCATTTAAGAGCAATATTTATGTACACTTAATTGCTGTTATATTGGTTTTAAATCCTTACAAAGTTGTTTATGGCTATTTTATTTGTTTGAATGGCTGGGTAATTTTTTACAGTTACGATGTATTCTAAATTTTGTAACCAGATTTGGTTACAGATCAAGCATCGTTCTCAAATGATCAGTAACTTGATGTACTGAAAGATAAGAATACAAAAAAATCATGGAGTTGAAAGATTTCCAAAGACTGAGGAAAATTTTTGTTATACAGGTGTTGAGGGTTGAATGAAAGACAATCATTTTGAATTGAGAAAAAATAAATCTGAGAATTAAAAAAAAAAACGTCTATTTTTGTAAATATTAGATTTCATAAAAATTACAGTATTATGGAATCTTAATTAATTGCTAGTTGTAAACCATCTATCTATTCATTCATTTAAGGTGGAAGGTTTTTGGTTTTTTTTGTTGTTTTTTTTAAGCTCTCAAGAAGCCTTTGTCTCTCTGGGGCATATTTTATATTTGCTTAGAACCTGGACTTTGGTAAAGCTACCAATCTTTCGTTTTGTAACCTGAATTGAATTTTCTATATAATAGGAATGATTGAGGCAGTGGAAATTGACTGGCATAGTCATGGTTTTGTTATAATCTAGTATTGTTTCTTGTAAATGTTATTCAAGTTGTTGTATATTACAGGTGAATGATCTTCAAGGTGCATTGGATAGAAGTATGTCTGTTGGTAGCTCGTCCAGAGAGGACTACTTGCTGACCAAACGTCGAGTAGATGAACTCTCATCAGAAATTACTAAACTCAAGGCTCAGGTATGAACACTTTAATTAGGTGAAATTCAGTAGTTCCAATTAGCTCATGTTCAGTATCTACAGCATTAGGTCACTAGATTATAGACCACACCTTGGGTCTAAGATAACAGTTTTCACCAACAGCTCAATGTGTTCATTAGAGCATTAGGTGTAAGACCTGTGGATCCCAATGTTGGTTTTTCGACACAGCACCATAGATAAAAGTCTTTCAGGATTATTCCAGAATCCAGGATTTGCAGACTCCCAAAAAACATCTTTATTAGCATAAAATTTTTAACAAGATTCTCTATATTGTAATATAGAATTTTTAAGATTTTGCAAAATGTATACACAATATATCAAGTAACTTGCACTCCTGCATTACATTAAGAATTTTGACAATTTATTTTAACTAAGGGTAAAATTGCAATTATTAGTAAATAGTTCGAGTTTTATTATGTGACTTTCAGATATGGAAACAATATTTAATATTTGACTGATTTACTTCAAGCATTATCACTTTGAACAGCATCTTTTTAGTTTTCAAATAACATAATTTCTTTGAATTTAGCTAAATTTGATAAAATGGATTTAGTTTAACATAAAAAACAGACCAAAATTAAAAACCTTTTTAAAGAAAACATACATAATCATAACCATACAACAATTTTTAGTAAATATAATATTAAAAATATCTGTTACAGAATGCAGGGTACTTGTCTAGAATTGAGGATTTGGAGAATCAGCTAAGATCCGAGTGTGATATGTTTGAGCAGCGCTTGCTTCAGAAAGACACAGAGATCATGGATCTCCGTCAAGCCCTTCATGATCAGACCAAGGAATATGCTGATCTCCTTGACGTCAAGCTTAAATTAGACATTGAAATCAAGGCTTACAGACAGTTGTTGGAAGGGGAGGAGGAGAGGTAAAGAATTTAACAAGTTGTGTTTTACCTCTTTAAAGAAAAAAAAATGTAGTACATAGTTTATTCATATTTCATTTCTTTGTAATATTATCAATATTTCATTGGTTATAGATGTACTATGGAGATTATGCAACTCCATCTGACCATTTGAAAAAATTGTTTTTACTTTACTTAATTTGAAACTTTTGTGCTGCTAAATTTGAAAAAAAAAGGTTATTAGCAAACTACACAATTGAGGAAGTATTGAGTACTAATGATAGATGATCCTTATAATATTATAAGGTCAGATTTTTCAATGAGGAAAATATTGTTTAAGGAAGTTTGATTTTGACCTTAGCCTAGATAGCTGACAATTTTGCATTTTCAGCCTAAATCTTGCATTTCATTTAAATGTGATGTTAAATGCCACATTATAAAAATGATATGTGGGTTTTATTTTGTCCATGGGTGTGTGTGTGTGTGTTCGAAAAAGTAGAAACATGTGTCCAGTCTGTAATTTGTACATGCAAGATGGGTTTTGAAAAACATAAGTACATATGATCACATAAATAAACAATATGTTATGTGCAAGTCAAATGTCTCTGGCTCAAAGGTCAATGTCACAGTATATTTCTCATATTTTCTGTGGTATAGTAAGGTTCATTTCTCAGACTGTATCAAAGCTATTCACTTTCGAACTATGACACCATAGGAAAATGGCAGATTGTTCTTAAATAAAAGTCATGGGATATTGAAAAATGTTAATTTGGAAGAAAGTAAAGTATATTTATTGCCAAATTATCATTTTACTCTGTCAGTCTTTGACAAAATTTCAAAATTTGTATTAATGTTAAGAAGGATTTCTTTTAAGGTTGTCAGTAGGTTTGTAATTTATTTCCCAAATTTTAATGCTAAGTACTTCAATATTCCCAAATTTATATGGTGCTTTCCTTTTCCCAAATTGTGAAGAAAAAAAATACTATAAACTTTTGTTTGTTTTTTCTAGACTAAACATATCTGCAACATCATCAGACAGCAGTACCCCCAAAAAAGGTCGAGGCTTGAAAAGAAAACGTGTGACTTTAGATGTTAGTGAGTCGACCAGCGCCAAATCTGGTTACGAGTATGAATCCGAGGCCGCAGCTAAAGGTGCCATTGAGATCCATGACACTGACCATGAGGGGAAATTTATAAAGTTGTTTAATACAGGAGAAGAGGTAACAGGAATTGGCTTGTATTAAATTGATTGTATTAAAGAAGGGGGTAATATACTGTATTAAGGTAAACTGCATTGCACTTACAGATCTACGATGAAAATGAAAGCAAATATTTGAAAATATCCTTTAGAATGCCAGTTTTCTTTCCAACATTGAAATTGATAATTTAATATGCATAGCTAAAATAATTTAGGGAACAGATGTTTCCATTTATTATATATTGTAAGTAATACATTAAATATTTAACTTGTAGTTTGTTACAGGCCATTATAGATCTGTAGCTACACACCTGTCTATTTCTGATATATCCTATACAGAAGTTGAACAAATGCATTTTACTGTTCTTTTGACAGTTATTTTGTGTGCATTTTATTTCTACAATGACTGTACTGTATGATTTCAGGATATAGTACTTGGAGGATGGATACTCAAACATGAAGCTGGAGACAAAGAAACCGTCTACAAGTTTCACAGGAATCTCAAACTACCTGCAGGACACTTTGTTACTGTAAGTGAACTTCATATCAAAAATTGTATCTAAATTTGTAATCTTAATGTTCTAATGCCATGATTTGAATGGAAATGGCTTAAAACTATTTATCTGTAATAAAAGGTATCTTATTTAAAAGTATGATTTTAAGTGGCATTTGAAAAATACAAACAAAACAAAAAAACATTTGCTTATGTTGTAACATGCTGATGGAATCCATTCAGCAATTATGACAAATTACACTGAGTCTAAGATTTTGATGTCGCTTTAAGAACATGATAAGGTTGTTGAAATCAAACCACTTACCCCTCGTCGCTGTAAGGTTTCAACCCTGCCAAGTACTTTTAACATTTGTGTGTCGGGAATATATCTAGCAAGCTTTAAAAACATCACTAGTCTAATAAAGATTTACAAAAATAAGGTCTGATAGATTGATACCCATTTGAATTTAAATAACAACTTAATTTATAAAATTTCATACTGATAATTACAATTCAGGTTTGGAGTTCTAATGCTGGACAGACTCACAGTCCCCCATCTGACCTCGTAATGAAAGGCCAGCAATGGTTCACAGACGAGGAAATGAAAACCACACTACTTCATGAAGATCAGGTGAGTTGTGGAAATATTTTATTGATATAAATACAAAACTATTTATTTTGCATAAAATTTATATAAGATTTTAAAGGGTTTTTACTATGTTGAGGTTGTAATTAGTTTTAAGACTGTTTGAGAAAAAATAGTTTGATTTTACAATTTACAAAAAAAAATCGGGAACCAACCATGGAATTTATTGATGTTGGAATAGATTTACATAATAAAACATGTGAAGTTATTTATAGCTGGTAAACTATCTGAACGAATTCACCATATAAATATTTAAATGTAAATAAATATTACATCCATGTGTTTAATACTTAGTCGAAAGCCAAGAAATGATGCCAAAAAGGTGACATTATTTTTCTATAGGTTTTTGATGATTTCAGAGCAAAGAAATATAGGTTGGTATGTGGGGATAAAAAGTTGTCATGATAGAGTCTGTAATTGTACTTGCAAAAAATTCTTGGTAACTTAACTATATGATATACAAGTTCAGTTTACACTGTAAGGAAAGTTGTAAGTTTAATTGCCTAGAATTAACTTGTGGATGTCCTTGGTCCAGCATAAATAAAGGGGAGATTTGATAGATAGGTTTAATTGCTTTTTGCTGCAAGTTCATAAAATTATTTGTCATTTTAAGGAAATGGCATCAAGGGTGTTAAAGAAGACACAGCGTCGTGTAACAAGAACATACAGAACCCTCCGTGACGGAGATGATGATGTTGAGGGGAGAGTAAGTTTTTTTACTGGTTTTCAAATAATTCTCATTTTATTGCATCTTTTATTGGAAAATTTCTTATACAAACCTTCACTTTTTATACAAAATGTTAATTTCCAATCAATGCATTCCTTGTCGTAATAGAAGAGTGTTAATTATGTCTCCCCCACCTCGGGGGGAGACATATTGTTTTTGCCCTGTCCGTCCGTCAGTCCGTCCGTCCGTCCGTCAGTCCGTCAGTCCATTCTTCGTTTCCGGACGATAACTAGAGTTCCTTTTGACCTACAGCCCTCAAACTTCATAGGATGATTGGTCTTATAGAGCTGATGATCCCTATTGTTTTTGGGGTCAGTAGGTCAAAGGTCAAGGTCACACTGACCGTTGGTCAATTTCTCGTTTCCGGATGATAACTAGAGTTCCTTTAGACCTACAGACCTCAAACTTCATAGGATGATTGGTCTTATTGAGCAGATGATCCCTATTGTTTTTGGGGTCAGTAGTTCAAAGGTCAAGGTCACAGTGACCGTTGGTCAATTTCTCGTTTCCGGATGATAACTAGAGTTCCTTTTGACCTACAGGCCCTCAAACTTCATAGGATGATTGGTCTTATAGAGCAGATGATCCCTATTGTTTTTGGGTCAGTAGTTCAAAGGTCAAGGTCACAGTGACCGTTGGTCAATTTCTCGTTTCCGGATGATAACTAGAGTTCCTTTTGACCTACAGCCCTCAAACTTCATAGGATGATTGGTCTTATAAAGCTGATGATCCCTATTGTTTTTGGGGTCAGTAGGTCAAAGGTCAAGGTCACACTGACCGTTGGTCAATTTCTCGTTTCCGGATGATAACTAGAGTTCCTTTAGACCTACAGACCTCAAACTTCATAGGATGATTGGTCTTATTGAGCAGATGATCCCTATTGTTTTTGGGTCAGTAGTTCAAAGGTCAAGGTCACAGTGACCGTTGGTCAATTTCTCGTTTCCGGATGATAACTAGAGTTCCTTTTGACCTACAGCCCTCAAACTTCATAGGATGATTGGTCTTATAGTTTAGGAAGCATCTTCTCATACAACCTTAACAATAGAAACCATCCATAGACAGCCTTCATTGAAGTGACTACCGGGTATTTACATTATCTTATCTCCATTTCCATTCCTGTTTCCATTCACAGTTATTCTCAGCAGTGGGGGAGACATGCGCTTTTTTACAAAAGCATCCTCTAGTTTTTCATGCATTAGACAGATCCAGTAAAAGGACATATGGCAGAAAATATCTTTTTCCCATAGTGGAGTTCAATTTGATAATAATAATTCTTAATTTGGCTGTTTTTGCAACTCATTTATTCTCTATTTACCTGATTTCATGAAAATCATAAAATTTGAAATTCTTTCGTAATTCAGTGGTGCACTTTAATTTGAAAACTATGGCAGAAGGCTATCAAGCTAGCTTATGGCACATTGGTGGCTTGTCTCAGGTGTCGTTTGTGTCTGAAAGTCTGAAATAATGTTCAGAGGAGCATCTGAGGTCTTCCTTCACCAGTTAAACTGGAAAGTTGCCATACTACCAATACTGTATTGGTGCCATGTTAAATTCAACCAATGAGGAAGCTATCCAGCTAGCTTACGGAACGTCGGTGGTTCTACTCAGGTGCCCGTTCGTGCCTGAAATAATGCACGGAAGAGCACCTGAGGTCTTCCTCCATCAGTTAAGCTGGAACGTCGCGATATAACCTATACTGTGTCGATGTGACGTAACCCACCCCACCACCCAAAAAAAAAATCCAACCAAAAAAAATATGATAATAATGAAAATGTCATTTTCTTCTTTACAGGAAAAGTGTTCTATTATGTAAAGATGAGGATCAACTAGGCAGCTATCAAATATATATATCATGTGTGATCATCTCAACATACTGGAAACATCAGGGACAGACACACTGTTTCATCATTACATACATGTTCATGTTAACAGTCTTGATACATTTACCAATTAAGACTTCAAAATAGGAAAAAATACTCATTTTGTCATGACTATCCTCATACTTCTTCATGAATTATGAATGATTTTGCAAAAATTTACTTTACAGCTAGTGAAAGATATGAAAATAAAAGCTGTGTAATGAAAAATAATGCTGTGCTTCCAAATTTATGACTAAGCAAATCTGTTGTATTTTTGTATTTTGAAGTTTTAAAAGTAATGATTTTTCGGTTGTTGAATAGGGGGTTTGTAAGTTACAGAATTTGTATAGTTTAATGATATTACTGATATCTTTTGTAATTCATGCTAAATTTTTAGTGTTTATAGGCCACTAATGTTTTAAGTAGAATCAAAAAGAGTAGAGGTTTTTATTGCTGTGTCAAATTGTTACTTGTAAAAAAGTTCATTTCAAATTCTATACTGAATCCATGACGCAAACTAGTGTCTGTCGTTTATGATTATGCATGTTCAGAGCCATTGTTTATCTTTATAACTCCTCAATACATTTAAAATGCAACTATGTAAATTAATTTTTTAATGTCCATTTAATGGTATTTTGTCATGGTTACGAGAGTGCTTGTCAAACAATAAAATTGGTCTCATTTTTATCGTTTTTTTGTCAGGAATGAAGATTTTATAATGATAGGGTAGGTAATAGAGATGAGCGAGAAATTATGAGAGAATATTACAGCAATACTATTTGTATAATCATATTACTCCCACCGACTTAACCCTTTCTAATACTCCTAGGTTTTATTAATACAGGGGCATAAAGTGTATATCTTTTTGTCTACAAGATATATAAAGTTAAATTTTTTGTATCCGAAGGTTGTGAAAGAAATGGACCAATAAATAAAAGGGTTATGTTTGTTGTGTAATTGTTTGATATAAAGATGGTAGAGTTGAAAAGTTAAAATAATGGCTAAATTTTCATCATATATATGTAACTTGAGTAGTTGATTTGTTGTTACATTAACCAAAAAAGGGACTCATTGTCATTTTTAAGCCCCAGGAATCTCATTTTGATGTTTTATTTTAAATTGCATCATACATATATGTTGTACATAGGCTATATGTAGTTAGATAAACTAACACTATGTTTTAGATTTAAAAAAAAACACTAAATCATGGAATAGAAGGGAAAAAATCATGGAAGAAAGGAAAAGATTTTTTAAACAGTTGACCCTCATATAAGAATGTCAGAAAAACAAAAGCAAAAGAAAAACCAATGGAATCATTATAAATTGTGAATAACAAGAGGTTGTAGATCTTGTTTATATCTAAGTTTTTACCTCAGTTCCAACCACCAGTGATCAAAGTTTTTCTTTCTTATGATTTATTTACTAATATTTTATGAGTGACTTAAGTTGTGAAATTTTATTGTTGAAAGAAAGTTTATCAGTTTGATAGATATTGTTTGTAATTTTATATAAAAAAATCATTTTAGGCCAAAAAAAGTAATTTAGTTATATGTGTTAGAATTGTGTAGATTTCATCTAGGATAAATGTGGATAATGTGATGACATTAGAGACAAATTGTTGATGGTAGAAAAATATATTAAGTTATAAGATGCTTGTTATATCCTTCATTTTATATTCAGTGTTGTATTATTATGTACATTATCTTGCTTTTATACATGTAGATTTATTTTGATGCATTTTTTTTTTCTAAAATATGTAATTCTGTCACCTTAGAGCAGTAACGTGTTAAGTCTTCCTATATTTAATAGAAGTTAACCTGCTACTGCACTAAGCTGATAGTAACTAGATTCATTTTGTGTGCTTGGAAGAGAATTTTCCCTCACATTTCGTCTTTTTTTATTCTTTACATTTTTTTTTATTTTCAAAGAAGTAACTGTAAGCTGTGAGTTATATTATTTCTGAATTCAAGTTAAAAGCCTGAAACGTCTTAAATTTAATTTAATTTATTTATATATATCTCAAGATGCGTGGATATATGTTAAACAGGGTATATTGCCGTAAAGGTCTTTGGCAAGAATTTGTAAAAGAAAAAAAAAAACACAAAAAACTTTCTATAATGGTGCTTAATGAACCTATTTGTGCAGATATATTTAGAGCATCTGCGATCAAGTGATCAAAATTGTCTCTCAAATCAAGTTGGAATCCTACAATAGTTTTTGAATTGTTTGGTGCGAGGAAGCTATCCAACTAGCTTACGAAAAATAAGTGGATTTACTCAGGTGCCCACTTGTCAGTTAAATAAAGCATTTGAGAGGCACTTTAGGTTACTCGCCACCACTTAAATGGGAATTTGAGAGGCACTTTAGGTTACTCTCGCCACCACTTAAAATGGGAAAGTCCACATTTTACCTTTACAGTTTCAGGTTGATAACAAAGAGAACATATGTGAATAAATAATAGTTGTGATACTTATATATGGATTCCCTCCGTATCTTCTTATTTAGTTAACTGTATTTTACTTTAGAATGAACACCTCTTTTTGAATTCCTTTGAATTTATTGTTAATGTTTTTATATAAACCACAAAATAATTTTTTTTTTCAAGTTAATATATTGAATTATTTTAGGAAAATTGTGGGGAAAAAACACATCATGATAGACCTAATATCAGACAAAAAAATTTCAGTTTCATTGTTTTTTTTAAACACCTTTTTGTGCCTTACAAACATACGTTTTATTGTTAAGACAAATAGTTGTTCAAAGTTTAAACCAGTTCTTGTATGCTTGTACGCTGATCATTTTCACAAAAATTTGAATAAATCGAGGGTTTGGTGCAAAACAGCTCTAACTCTCATTACATAATGGAGTTACATCCATTTTGCACTGATCCATTAATATACATGTGTACTAGTGAAAGTATAGATAAGAAATTACAGGAGTTGTTGATATAACGATAGGTTGTTGTCTTTTTTATCATATAGTTGTAAAATGTGTCCTGTGTATAAATAAATGCTTTTTATTTTAATTTACACATTTAAAATTTCTAGTTTAATCTTCATTTATTCGTGTAAAATTTGTGCAATTTTTTGTTCAGTTTGTGTAAGAAAAATATTTTAGGAAAGTAAATCTTTATATTTAAACATTTCTAGTGTCAATAAAATCATTTAGTACCTTGTTTAAAAAACATCAAAACTTGACTCCTGTGTCTGGTGAAGCTTTTTTATAGTCATTTACCATTTTGATAATTTTTTTTATTATTATTTTCAGGTTTGCATAAACTATTACATTATTGTGAAATCTTTGTAGTCGTTGCTTCCATTAAACTTTAAAGCCTTAGATACACCACTTATTTTAGCATTTCTAATTTCTTGTAGGTGTTGTTGTTTTTTTTTTATTCATCAACAATCAGGACCAATATGTAATAAGTTAATTTAAAAAATGAATTTCTAAAATATTGTTATAACGTATGTTGAATACTAAGGCCCTCTGTGACCAAAACCCACAGATGTGTCTGTTAAACATTTTGCGGAAAGGACTTTTTTGTAAAAATAAATTCTTTGCGTTAATGGTAATAAGTTATTTTAGAAAAATTTTCAGTGTTTTTATCGGCAGTTTAAAACAAGGTATTTTTGTGCAGCCTTTCTTTTCTGATATTTGCTTACAAACATAACCATATTTATACCTGGTTGCTGAAATAGTCATTTTATGTGCAACAGTCTTTATATGACGATGTTAACATGTGTGAAAAATGAAAATAAAAAACCCCAAATGATTGTGATGTTTTTATAGCTCTATGTATAAATTGTTATTCCTTTTTTTTTTTTACATAATTTTTTTTTTATTATTTTGTCTTGATTTTTTGTAATAATTTCCTTTAATCATGACTTCATTGAAAAAAATGATGAAAAGATTTATCTTTGTTTTTTTAACTTCCTTAAATTCTTTGATATGATATGCATGTTGATAACTTGAAATTAATCTTTAAAAATTCTGCCGTGGATTTATTTAGCTAACACTTCTTTGCTATAGTTTCTTCTCTGTGTGAACAGTTTATTAATCTGTCGTCACCTTAGTGCAATAATGGGTTAACTCCTATTGATTATATAAGAGGTTAACCTATTACTGCACTAAGGTTACAACATAGTCATTTCATCACAAGGTGGTTGCTTGGATTATTTCGTATATTCCTTGCTATTCCTTCATTTAAATATATTTCAAGGCAAATTTTATAAACCACTTCTTACAGGTGTATTATTTTATGATACATATTTGGAACCTTAAGAAATATTGACATTTTGATATTAAGGTTTTGATTTATATTTTTAACATTTTTTTCCAGAAAAAAAATAGGACATTAAGAGTTCAGTAATAAGAACAGTTAGTCATGACTTCCTATTAGTTTATGTTAACCTTTCTTGTTTACCATTTTATTTTTCCATCTGTAGGATTTGCACTTTGGTGGTAGACTTCATGTCATATTCAAGCTTTTTATATGTAATAAAATATCTGTACTAAAAGTTGTTACTTTATTCTTTTAGGCATCAAAATTTCTGATGTAATATGTTTCTGGATGTTGGTCAGCTGTTCCTTATTATTTGATTCGCAAAAATACAGAATTTTTAAATGTTTTGAGGAAACCATATGTTTGAGTAACCATAGTTATTGATACCTACTTAAAAAGTGGGAGCAAACTGGAGTCGGTACATATGTCATCTCAACCTTGTCTGACCAATAACTAGAGAACACTTTGGCCTACTTTTTAAAGCTATGTTGTGGTGGTTGGTCATGACCAGTAGATGACCCCTATTGATTTTGAGGATAAAATCACCATGACCTTAACCTCTAAAAGCTTTTTCCAGCCAGTAGCGAGAAAACACTGGCCTAATATGTCTCATCAACAACTAGAGAAGCCTACGGCCTAGAGTCCTACAATTGGAGTGGAGGTTGGTCATGTCCCCTATTGACCGAAGTTAAAAAGGTCAAGGTCTTAATCACTGAAAGTTTGTCTGATCAATTACTAGAAAGTGATTTGGCCTACTCTTGTAAGATTTGATGTAAAGCTTGGTCACGACTAATAGGTGACCTTTTTTTTTATTTTGACCAAAGGGGTATAATTAATATAAGGTTTGTGGAGGTCCATTAGGCAATGCCACATGCAAATTATTCAAGGTCAGCATTGTAGTTTCACACAATAAGACTTAAATGTGCGTTTCCTATGCAAGTCTCTATAAATCAAAGGTGCATGATGGTTTTAATTTCATTCCATTTGTTCAAAAGATACATAGCGGACATGTAATTATCTCAAGTTGAAAAATATAAACACTGGACACTTGGTCAGGAAAAATGTTGCATATAAAGTCAGAGCAAGAACTTTGTTGGTCTTTCACTACAACAAACACCCATTAATATTGTGTATTTTAATAAATAATAATAAATGGGAGTAAATTTATTGTACAAGATCTAATGGATCATTTATGAACATTTATATACTACCATAAAACATGAAATTCATGAATACATACATGTATTAAATCTGTTGCTTAGTCTATAGACTAAAATGACAAAAAAAAATCTAATTTTTTGGTTGAGTGAAACGGGCAGTAAGTTCTTTTTCCGTTTTCCATATGGTCTTATTTTACTTATTTTTATCAAAATAAAATTTAAATAACTGAAAAAATATTCATAAAATAGTTTGCCATGTTTCATGTTGGGCTATGGTAAGATAGGATTTTGCTTTTAATGCAAATCTGGCAATATAAAAATGTTTTATTTTTCTCTCTTGAATCAGGATGAAAAGACATACTTTTTTTCGAAAATATCGAAACTAATAAAAGTATGCCACTGGAGAGAATGTAACTTTCACAAAGTAAGTGCAATCAATGATTTGTGATATATACATGTATGTACATTGATGAAAAATCACAGACATAGCTTTAATATAATACAATATATGACTATCTTCTGAAGCCCAGACATAAACATATACAAATATTAAAACACTTTATACACAGCTGTGAATGAAATAGAAACACTCGTTAAAGCTGCAAGCCTCTTTATATAAATGTTTATAAAAATTAAAAGGAAATTTTATTTTTTAGCGATTTCTTTAAAATTTACCATTTCCATGTGTTTTGTTAAAAAAAATCTGGTTGAACAATTTGGTAAACATCAGTCCTGCAGTTAAAGACCATGTTTAACAAGAGCTGCCATTGATGTTTACAAATGCTACATTTATAACATGCTTTGCTTGTAGTACGACATATACCTCTGATAAAACTATTTTAACAAACTTTCAAAATGGTCCAGCACAACAATGACTATTCAATGTCTATGTTTAATGTGTAAACAGTAAAGTGGGCAGTAAAAATCGACAAAATGCTACATTCACTGATAATTTTCATGTTAAAAGGGTATCTCTGTAAAAAATTAATCGGAAATCCACATGACTTCTACAACATTTGATAAGTCGAAATCATACTTCTAAAATGCATACATGTAGTTTGAAATCAGTAATCTACACAATTTTTTCACATTTGAAAATAATGTATTTGGAAATTTCTCTCTTCATATCCCCTGATCAAGCACATTTCTGATACATCTATGTAGTCTTATGTATTACTATTACATAACCTTATAATAATTTGTTTGAATAAAAAAAATGAATCTATAACCACAGAAAATAATATTATACTTTCTTTAAAATTACACTTCAGTACCCATAAATCTATATACTTTCTTAAAAATTACAATTTAGTAATCATAAATCTGTCGATTTTTTATATAAACTGAATAGCTCTAAAAAGTATCCTAACACAATCCACTTTTTTCATGCCCACATATGAAAAAATATATATATCACTTTTGTACTATCTTCAAACACATTCTGCCTTTTCTTGCCCAAATATGAAACAATATATATCACTTTTGTACTATCTTCAAACATTACTGAGTTTTCTATTTGCCATAGCTTCTCTGATTTGCCTATCAAGCTCAGCAATGATTCTATCTTGTGTTGAATACACTCCTGTTCTCAATAGAGTATCACGTTCCTCAATCAATCGTGATATATGTTCTTCAATATTGTCCATATCCGGGTCACCTTTCCCACTAACAATGTCACGAGGTGAGTGATCCACTGATTTTAATCTTTCCTCTTCCATTTGTTTTAATCTGTTAAAATTATGAAAATATTGTTTATTTTAGTTAATATACAGGAGAATATATTATAGAGGTTAATTCAAGAACAAATTTTGTCAATTTATGTCAGATGCTTTTACATATTTCTGTTTTAGCAAAATTTACAATATAATCTGCATATTTTTTGTTAACAATAACAGTTTTTTAATACATTCCAAACCACCATCATCATAATCGTCATCATAATCATTTTATTATTTGTCATCATAAATTTTAATAAAATCCTCCTCATAACCATCATAACCATCATTATCATCATCACTATTATCATTACTAACAACTAGCCTTAAACCCTTTATCATATATTCAACATTTAAACCCATGTGACGATTGCAGTTAAAAATCAGCTGGCACATCCATCTGATAATGGTCATCACTAGTCGCTATTTCTTTTGAAATTCATTAAAGATGATATATATGGCTTTGTCCAGATTGATGGACAGACAAGACCATTTAAGAAATTAAGCATGGTATGGGTTAATGGTCCTGAAGTCCTTTACTACAATACAAGCTGATAAAAATCATAAGATCTGGGGTAATTGTAATCACTTTCTTTGTCAATAATTTTGATGGTAATATAGATGATATATTATACTTACTTGTTAAGTTCATTTTTAATATCTTCTAATTCTTGCTTCTCATTACTGACAACTTCCTTCTCCTCTGCTGCCAGGTAACGTAGTCGCATATGCTCTAATTCCTATATGATAAAATATCTCGTAATTACAGTTTTGTTTTCTATACTAATCTTTAAAACTTTATAACTCAATATAATTATATCATTTACACTTGTATCAAAGCCTAATATAGGTATGTTATTATATCATACATTTTTAACCATACGCAGTCCCATCTATTACTATATAAGTGCAACTATGTAAGTAAATATAGAAAACTTTGGTACATTTGCTATCTTTTCAACTTCTGCGATCTTAATTAAACAATTAAAGAAGAGGGACATTAGTTATATGAATTGACCATTTTATGAAACCAAATTTAATTATTTTGGACATAAGTTGATGATTTTACACAACAACACAGTTGAGGACCATTTTATGAAACAAAACTTAATTATTTTGGCTTCAAGAATTTACCTGTTGTTGTTTCATGAGATGGGCTTTGGCCTGGGCCTGCTCTTTCTGTTTTAGCCTGGCTAGCTCTTTTAAAGCTCGGCCCCATTGTTGTTTGTAGTGAATCTTTGACTTTGTTACTGCATCTAGCTTCCTCTCTAACTCAACCTGTGACAACAACATAATAATACATAACACATACAATATCTTTAACTGATGGTCTTACAAAAGGAAGCTATCTTGCTAAACAATTTTACCTGTTTAATATTCAGGCTAATTGGTTTCTAAATGTATCCAAGTGATCAATTGGTTTCTAAATGTATCCAAATGATTTAAAGTGAAAGTCTGTTTAATCAAAATATTTCTGACATTTTTTTCTTTGAAAAGTGAATTACATACATGATCTAATTTATAGATAATTAACAGGCTTATTGTTTGCCTCATTTACATTTCTTTCAATCATATAAAAGATATCTTTCTTACCACATTAGAGACAGAATTAATAGCAATTAAGATGATTTACTGTTACCTACTGTTTTTTTTACAGCAACTAAACTATCTAATATAAGTGACATCCTAAATATTCATCTTGAAACATATTTAATTACTTACATACATATGAAGAACTTATTTACTTGTCACACTCAAATCTTTATTACAAATAATGAAAAAAGAATAAATAACATTCTGATGATGTTGAGATGCTAGTTTCTGAAACTTTCAAACAATTACAATTTATTACATGCTTTTCAGTGGTTTATAGAAATATGTCAGTGTTATAAAACTGGTAATTTCACTATTTGAAACAGTGAAATTACCACTTTGATAATTTCACTGTTTTGAATTTAAGCCCCTTACGTTGTTTCAGTGAAATACCAGCGTGCACAGTACTGGGTACCAACTTAATGACGTGACGTCGTAAATGACGTCACATTGTATTATTATTTGGCGCGCTTTTCATTCAGTATTAGGTTTAATGTCTTTTTAAAACGTTTCTTTGCATGTAATAAAAAGAAAATTTGTTTAGTTTAGAGTAAGATTGAAATATATTTCACCTTGTGAACACCAAAAGTTCATATTTCACTCGTGGCTGCGCCACTCGTGAAATATTCCTTTTGGTGCTCACTCGGTGAAATATATTTCGATCTTACACTGAACTAAACAAATATCCTCTATATAATTCATGTGTTTATTTCAAATATAATGTAAAAAAAGTAGTATTTACCTTTTCCAGTGTAAGCAAGTTTATCTCGGACTGTAACCGGACTTCTGGTTTCGTGTTTAATTCTTCTTTGTAAATAGTAAAATCTTTCTCTACTTTAGACTTCTTTTTCTCTGCCTCAGTAAGCTGTAAAAATAAAGTTAAAGGCACATTATGCGTCAGAAATGCTATCATTTTTATTTCTCAAAATTTTAAATATTTGGTGTCTTGTTACAAGTTCCACAAAAAATACTTATTTGCCATATAAATGAACTATCTTTGCATCTTTAGCTTTGCTGGCAATTGGTATAATTATAATGAATTAGTATTTTGTATGGAAGTCAAAATACTATTTGTTTACATTTTGCAGCTGTTAAATATCTTACATGTTCTAAATCCATTATTAAAACATAATTAAACATGTGTTTTACATTTCTAAAGAATTTAATAAAAAAGGATTTCTGAGGCATAATGTGCCTTTAAGTTAACCTGTTAATTTGCTAAATTTGTGTACTGGATTTGTCCAGCTTTGAATTTTGGAACAGTCTATTTGAAATATAATTTTTAAAGGATTCCAATACTTAAATTCAAAAAATAAGGTTAACAATGAAGAGTTTGGTCAGACTATACATAATATGCAGGCTGGCCTAGCTGTATACTGGTGGCAAAGGCTTATCTCTTTAGATTCTAGCAGGCTAAGAGATACCAGTAAGTTCATTATTACTGTTAAATTTTCCTAAATTTATCACCACAAGTTGTGGAGAAGCACATAAAAATCTATGTTTAATGTATTGTGGAAAGAATTAATTTAATTTGATTTAATAGCAAAGGGAGGCAGTTGCGTAGTGGTTAAGGTGTCTGCCTCTCAACCAAGGAATCATGGGTTCCAGCCCTAATCTGGTTACAACCATGTTTCTTCATATGACACCAGTACTGGTAAGTTCAAGAAAGCGGACCTGAAAGTGTTTAATATAAGTTGCAAAAACATGTTTCGCAATCAAGCTTAAATAAATATGTTTAAACCAATTAAATGGCATAATTTTTATACAAAGTTAAACAAAATATACCCACCTCATCTTTATAGCGCTGAATCAAACTTTCTAATTCTTTACATTTGGCTCTAGAAAAGAAATCAAACAAAAAACAACAATTACTTTGAAAGTTATAACTACGGGGATCAAAGAACAAATCTAATACCTAGCATGAATATAAGTGGGAAAGAAACTCAGAAAATAATGTCCTTTTACACTTGTAGAAGTAGATTATAAAAATCTTTGAATATATTTGCATATTTTTTCCTACACAAATGTTTAAGCCAAATGGGAAAAACTGAATTTTAACAAACCTGCTAACCACCAATCACTTTAATTGGAACAGGTAATTGTTAAAACAACCATACATTAACCTTTCGTTTTGTTTTGGTTTTACAGTGCACCGACAAAATATAGGTCATTAGGCGCAAAAACAGAATTGATGGTTTTGGCTAACATTGGGTGTTACGAACTTAAAGCAACACTAAGGTTCAAAACCAGCTCAGCTGCTGGAGCTAAGAGATGCATAGAATGCAGTAATTCAAACCCATTTAGTCCCCTCTTACGATTACACAGGGATAAATGGTTGCAAATCTGGTGCCTCAACCCCTCAGTCACAAGGGGACCATACATTTAACCATAAAAAATATAATCATGTGATCAGAAGCTAGAAAGTCTAACTTCTGAAGCTCTGGTATCCTGACGAACAGGTTGGTATTTAAATGTATCCAAAGTAACTATTTACTTTTCAAGATCAATCTGGTGATCACAGTCATCTTTCAGTCTACGAGAGGCTTCCTTCATCTCCTGTAGTTTACGATCATGTTCTCTCTGTAGATCATTCTTTAATCTCATAACCTATAAATATAATTTCACTACATAAAGGTGACCTATAAATATAACTTAAGAAAATATAGGTGATCTATAAATAACTTCACTTAATATAGGTGATCTTTAAATATAACTTCACTTAATATAGGTGATCTATAAATAATTTCAGTAAATATAGGTAATCTGTAAATAACTTCAAGTGACATTTTGTCCATTCAAGTATAAATGGTGAGTGCACAGGTGTTAGTCACATAAGCTTTACATTTATTATAATTGTGTTAAATTTCATTTTTTACATAGCAAAAAACTAAATAATCCACTTGACCTGAGGAAATTTTTATAAATATTGTTTGAAATGATTAGTACTGTTCATTCTTTGGGCAGTCTTTTCGTTATTTAAGTACATGTAGTTATCATATTCTATCCTGATCAATTATTGATCAATCACCATATATATAAATGTCAATCTTTTGAAATGTATTACTGATTCAGCAGAACTTGACAGCCAGAAAATGGGCAAAATAAAGTGATTTTAGTAAGTCTTGGGTCTTGCTTTCATTAAATTTTAATTCAAATGTGTAAAAATGTCCTCTTTCGTATAGCTAAAGGGGGAAAAGTGATGTTTAGATAGTATATAAAAGCATCAAAAAGATTGAGAATGTTTTTCAAAATCTATATATCACTTTTCAAAGTTTGCTAATATATATATAAATTTGTTCACTTATCAGTAGTTGTGACATTTTTTAAGAAATATGTTGTATGTAACCACATTACAATATACCTCTTGTTCATTGGCTGCAAGCTGCTTTTCTCTTTTCTCCAAGTCCGCCAGGGTTTTACGTAGTTGTTCCTCTAATTGGGCATATTCTGTTAACTGAAAAATATACACCATTACTTTAAGGTCAAATCTGAATCAGGGGACATAACTCTAAAGCATGTTTCTTCCAATTTTTTTATTCCAAATTTACATGAGCAGCACATATATAATTCTAGAATCCTACAAACTCTTTGTCAAATATGTATAACAACCATTAGTTCCAATAAAATTATACAAAGGATGTTAAATTTTATGATACATCTTGCAAAGTAAACTAAACTTAACTAAATCTTAACTAAAATTACCAAAGAATTATAAAGGGTAGATTATCACTATTATGCACTGCAGATCTGTGTAGTTTCAAGCTCGTATCTCAGATAGTTTTAGTTACGCTCTGGACAAAAATGTTGGATAGAAGGATGGACAGATGAAAGGACAGAGACTATTACCATACCATTTTTGGGGATTAATGGGCGTTAAATTACTTGTTGCTTTTTTTCCTTTTTGTTATTCAGATGAATGGATATTCAAACACAAAGGCTTCAAAAGCACAAGACTCTTTAATCAGAAACCATGGTATACAAAATGATGACTTATTTTAACACTATGACTGTACTAACTAAACTAATATAAGCATCAAACCTTTTTCTTCATCAGTAATTCCCTCTCTCTATCTCTCTTCTTCCATTCTTCAGCTAGAGCCTTCATATACATCATCTCTTTCTGTTTTAACTGTAGATAAATAAAAAATTTATTAAACCAACAATATTTGCCATCACATTTCCTTAACATGTCCAAGTTTTATATGAAATTAACAAAGAGTTACTATGAAATAATAAGAGTTGGGAGTTCAGTATATATCGGACAACTTGGCCTTACATGATTTAATTGCTAACATCTTGCCTTTTCACCAAATGAAATGCATTTTCAGATGTCTTATTCATCTCTCCACAAAGATTTATATACCACCATAAATGAAAATTGTAAGAATCAGCGCAAATATTTATATATATCAAACTACAACAAAACTATTCTAACCTGATTTTCAAACACATGTTCTTGTTCCTCTTTCCACATCTCTAATTCAAGAGCTGCCTTGTACTCATCTGTCTCCCTGGGCTCTTGTTGTGGTTCCCTGTGATGATACCCTTCTGCCATACTCCCAGTCTATTTCAATAAAAGACAAAAAAAAATTATTAGTTTAATTCCCACTTTCAACAATATAATGGGCCAAAAGGAATCATTCTATGCAGGTCATCTAAAGCGTGTCCTGTTTTGCATTATTTTCTGGTTAAAACAAATAATGAAAATAGCTTCAAACCAAAAATATATAGAATTTAATACAGAAATTCATGCTGGGATTTTAAAATATGTCATTTTAACGTGATTTGAGTTCATAAGATCATTTTAATATTTTTGTCATAACATTGCTTAAAAGAAATTCTTGACACCAGTTTTAAAAAAGAATTTAACTCAAAATGATGTCCACAGGACAGGGATGCCCCTATTTTCTGATATTTTGTCCATCTACAGACTGTAGGGTGGGACACATAGACAAAGGACCAGGGCATAATGAAGGGAGATAATTTCAAGAATGAATTTAGTTCAGTAATTTTCTGTCTAATTAACAAAGTATGGAACTAAAACCTTAAATGAGAATATGACTTCTTTTTAAATAATACAAAATATTAGGTAATTTCAATAAATATGTTTATTACATTTTTAAAAAAGTATCACCCTCAGATTTAATTTAACTTGGTGTACTCTTTTTTGGTATGGGAAAAACAAAAGGTGTCTTGCCAGTTTGCTAGACTCTTGTCAGTGCCTGGCAATAAGAAAAGGGGCATAACTCTATAAAATGGTAACTCAGAGATATGGGACATGTGCCCATCATGTCAAATTATCACAGAGATCAAGAGTGCAAAGTTTCAACCCATTCTCATTACCAACTTGCATGCAAAAACTTAACCGAAGTGTAACAGCAATGTCAACACTGACAGCAGGATGAGTACAATAGCTCTCCCTATTCTTTGAATTATAAAATTCAAAATCAATCTATTTTTCATTATAAATTTTTCTGTCCTACTCATAGCAGATATAAAGGTTAGACTACAAACCGGTGCAGAATCAGGTTGAGCTACAATAATCTGCTGTGTTCCAATTGGTCCCCAGTCCTCCAGACTCAACACAAATGCTATATCTCCGATCTGCTTCGATTGCCTACAATATTAATATTATTGTCCAAGTTAAATAAATATTGTCGTAAGTCAAGCATATGCTTAATATCTCTACATTAAGAAGTATCAGCACAATTTATTACTACACTTAAATTTTTTTCATGGTTAAATTGATTAGTATCTTAAAAATATTCCTTAGGTAACTTAAGATCAATGCTTTTTCTAGAGAATATTTTTTTTAAATAAATCTTTTGTGTGTGAGTGTAACTTGAAAGCTTTAATGGTATACATGGAGAAAGCAAATTTTTTAATGACACAAATGAATTGTTGAAGCGAGATGCAAGATGAACTAAATATGAAACCTGTTTAAATACTTTTACTCACATTGGGCTAAGAAATGCATTACTATCAGTTGATCTACGTAGAATTTTATGATTTTATGTTTAAAGCTTTTGGTTCCCAGTGAAGTTTCTTTGATCTTTACAACAGTTTTATAATTAAAAAATCCTTGACAAAATTCTACCAATAATAAATAAGATAAAACTTACGTTTCAGTAGATATAACAGGTGTTTTGTTACTGTATAATTGCTTCCAACCAGCATTTCCAGCATTATTCTACAAATAAAATAAAAAATGGCAATGTCAATATCATCCCTTGGTATAAACACAGATTATGCTATTCTAAATTTAACTTGTCAATGTCAATAGCATGTCAATATCACCCCTGGATATAAATACTAATACTAGTATTGTTCTAAATTTAACTTAAATACACATTCAGGTTTCAAAAATTAGTATAAATACTAATATAATGTTTGTTTAAAACTTGACACTTGTTCCTTCGTATTGATTGGTACCAAAAATAACAAATTAGACAGAAACCAGGAATTGAATAATTTTGCATATCATTGTGCTTAACTGATATACCAGTATCAAATTATGAATTTTTTAAATCCCATATACATCTATATAATGGTTAGCCTTTTAATAGTTTTCAAATTTTAATATCTGATCACATTTTAATCATTGACTTCATACTCTAGCACTATAAATAAAACTATAAGTCACCATTATTTTTGTTTTCTCTGCCACTATAATATCTGCCAACGGTAATCTGGCTGCTCCGAGTAAAACATCTTTTGATAACTGTTTATCTCGATGCCACATCTCAACTAATAATGGTACCCTGTAACAGTAAAATACATATACATGCTTCTAGCATTGCCAACACTTTTATTAATATAGCACATGCATAACTTATTTGAAGGTCAAGGTCCTAAATGATGATTACACTATATTAATCCTTACAATGCAAAATATCTTTATTAGACTTGTCTCCCTTTTAATATGACCAAAATAAAATTCACTGTTTATTGGGGAAGTTTTTCAAAATGAAACTGACTGAATAGCAAACAGAGCAGATCATAATCAGATTGCACAGTTTTAAAACAATAGTAAAACCAAAAAATACAAAGACCATCGCCCTAAAATAATCAAAATCTCCTTTTTGTTTTCTTTTTTTTGTGTGTAAATTTCTGAAAAGCAGCATACCTGAGGAACGTCTCTTGAAGCTGTTGAACATTGCATGCAAAATCAAAAGCACAAAAAGATTGTGGAAGAAGTACTTCCATCCCTTTCCTTATTTCAACAGGAGGGTGTGTCAATATTGGAGCTGCACTCCCAAAGAATGGATAGGTGTACCTAGATTGAAGAAAAACAATACAATTCAGCTTAGCTCATCTTTTTGTGAAAAGAGAAAGAAATCAGATCATTCAAGTTATCAATCAGCACACTCTTGCAGGACACAGGCATCGTCATAAACATGAAACAATTTTTTAATGTATAATAACTTTTCAATATTATAGGAAAAGAGGATGACAAACGTGTAAATCCATAACCTGTTTCAAATAACACATCTTCGGCGATTGATTTTTATGGAATGCTTTTGATATCCATTTAAGAGAATGACCACACAGAATTGTAAAACAAAACAGTTGATTAAAATAAATTATTCAACTATCCAGCATGTAAGTTTTTTTTCTTTCTTTTTTTTAAAATAAGAAATTTAAACAATTTATTATAACACCTCCGATCAATAAAACCTTGATCAACAGTTAAATTTTTTCAATTCAGATCCAGTTTAAACTGTTTTATCTCTCTTCATGCAATGCCGTATTTTACTAAATAACAAAAAAGTCAAACATCCAAGAAATGTTGCCATGTATTACCTAAGGAAAACATTTTGTGTTGTATTATTATCAGTACTTTTCACACTTCTAAGATCAATGGAGAAAGAGAAGTGATGTGACTGCGGGGGTACTGCGACATGATGTTGTGTGGTTGAGGTACCGCTGTCGGAGGGCCGGTTTGGGCGCGAGGGACTTGATGGACCAGCTGATGATCTTTTCACTTCTGTTTGATCTTCATCTAACACTCTCTTTTTCTTTCCTGAAATGAAATGAAAAACACATAGTTTAGGCTGGACTGCAAAATAAACATAATGATTTAAATACACAGCACCTTTGTAACTAAACATCAGTTATTAAGACAACTTATAGTACCACATGTTTGTAACATCGCTTCTCATTGGATAATGGTGATGTTTATTTATTAAGTTATTTACTTTGCTGCTGTTAATTAATAAAGTAATTATTCATATATTTTTCTTATGAAGTAAATTTGCTGTATTATTAATTCACTGTAATGATTCTTGAAACATTATATGACGTTATATAAACAGTTGTTTACTATATAACCCTCGTCTGGCAGCTCAGGTTATATATACAAACAACCATTTATATAGGGTCATATAACCTGTCAAAAAATTTTTTATTACTTATATACATGTATTAACTTTATCATTGTCCATAGTGTGCAATGTATCATATTGCCCATTCATACATAATTTAAGACGGTCAATGGTAGCCCTTTCATGCATCATTTAAGACTACCACTGGTGCACGTCCTCGTAAAATAATGAACATATACAAGTCCTACCATAACAAATTGTCATTAATGCTTATCTTTATTATTTCAAATAAATCAATATGAACTTAGTTAACTGAATGATTTTAAATGTAAATTGACAACAGGATAACTCACCATGCTCCTCCTCTAAACTACTGAGATTATCATGTGTTTCTTCCTCAAAATCATCATCATACCCAGCCTCTTCTTTTCTATCCTGTACTGGTGATGGTGACCGCAACTCTCTTTGGGGTGACCTTGACATTTGACCTTTACCTGGTGATGACTGCTCTTTGTGGGATTTAGCTTTATGTGATGGGGACTGGGCAGCAGGTGATCTGATAGGTGACCTTTGACCTTCCTTTACTGGCGTTCGCATAGCCTTTAAGAAAAAAAATTGTACATATAGAAAACTGACCAAATAAAAATAATAAATTTCAATAATCACTAACTGAATAACATTTTTTTTCCCGGGTTTCACATCTTATCAACACAGTAGAAGCCATATGGAGACTTTTCAGCTTTACTAGTAGAGAAAGACTTCAGGTTCAACTTTGTGCAATATTATACAAGTAGAACCACTGACGTTCTATATAGCTTCCTGACATGAAAGAATCCCAAGTCCCTGGCAGGATTTAATATTTGAAATACTGATAATTGCTTACATAATACAGTCTCTATTTAGTTGGAAAAATAAACATCATTTGAGTACACACAATGCAAGAAATATTACATTTTATACCCTACACACTAGGAAAACACAATATAATTACATAGTGCCATTAAAAAAACTAGCAGCTTATTTTTGTGTATTAAATGACCACTCTTGACCATCAATAGAAAATGCAGCTTCCGAGACATAGTTTTTTTTACATTTTCATAATTATTCCAATAAGACATCTTCAGTACAAATTTCCTTAATTTCAAAAAAAATTCTGCAATATAAGTATTTTACCCAAAGAGCAAAGTATATCTATAAAACTAATATATAAATTTTACCATATCTTCCTTTCTGAGCACCACAGACAGTCCTACAACTGGTGACATTCCTGATGGGACAGTAGACATCTGTTGCTTTGTTCTATTTGGTGGTACTAACTGTATGTACAATTTGTAAAAAGCATTACAAATATGACAAACATATAAAATATTATACACTTTTGAAATATATATTTTTAGTATGCATCAAAGAATGGCTCTGTGAAAGTTTTACATATCTTCAAAGTACATTAAGCCTTAAAAGTGCTATTATTTTCATTTCTAAATTTTTTTCTGTCGGATGACCTGTCACAAATACTATTTCACATAAAGTGCTACTTCTTCCAGCAATAAGCAATTAATAAGCTTTAAATTCAATATTAAAATATTACATATGAGCCGCGTCATGACAAAACCAACATAATGGGTTTGCGACCAGCATGGATCCAGACCAGCCTGCGCATCCGCGCAGTCTGATCAGGTTCCATGCTGTTCGCTTACAAACCCTATTACAAGTAGAGAAACTGGTAGCAAAAAGCATGGATCCTAATCAGACTGCGCGTATGCGCAGACTGGTCTGGATCCATGCTGGTCGCAAACCCATTATGTTGGTTTTGTCATGGCCAGGCTCATATACTAAACATGTTTGCCTCTTCCTAAAGAAGAATTGTTTTTCAATTCTAAGTCTTTAACCAGTCCCTATACTGTTGGCTGCTTTGTTGTACCTACTTTGAGATCAATAAAGCCCTCAAAGTAAAAATAGGCAACAGATCAGCAAGGTCATTAAATACATCGAGAGATGTAAAATTTCATTTACAATAATGCATATTCTTTAAGACTTGCTCTGGAATTAAGAATATTTTTTTTGGTTTTCCCAGCTAATCTGAAGGTACAAAAAAAAACTTTTATAGTTACAGCTTCAAAAAGTAGCGTAACAGGTTGACAAATCTATTGTGACGTGTGGTGCACCATTAAACTTTAAAATTTTTGTTTAACCTACGCATTAGCTGGGAAAAAACCACATTTTCCAAGTTTCCGATAACAAATATTGAAGAATATCAACATATACAATCATGTATACATTTTAATATATCATAATTAACCCTGTTACCTCAAAAGAACCCTCCACTGACACAGGCTTCATGTATATCTCTGTACTGCTTTTCTTGAGAAGGTTAATTAGGGGAATCTCTGCACGACCCAGTGACTGTTCACCACAACATAAATGCACCTACAATTGTTAATACCAATGTTTAAAGATCTGTCATAATCTAATTAATAATGTTAGTAATATTTTGCATATTTATACATCTATAAAATTGTTGTAGAGCTGTATATTTAAAATACAAAACAACAATATAGGACATTTTATCCAATCAACAAAATAAGACAATTTTGCCATTCACCAAAATAAGTCAATTTATACAAAATAATACAATTTTTTTATTTGAACAACTTAAGACAATTTATAAAATAACTAAAATAAAACAACTATTTATCCATTTATAAAAATAAGACAATTTACTCAAGCAACAAAATGGCATTTCCCAAAGATCAATAATAAAACTTGCAGCTTAAGGATTTTATTTTCCAGGAAAACAGTATATTCTACATATACATAGATTCATAGTATTTCAATTTCAGCTTTTTTAACCATTGAGAATTGCAATTTCAAATTATCTCTTTACAATACTACGAAAACTCTTATAGTCCAGCTATATAAATAAACAGATGATAGAATATTTGAGCCGCGTCATGACAAAACCAACATAATGGGTTTGCGACCAGCATGGATCCAGACCAGCCTGCGCATCCGCACAGTCTGATCAGGATCCATGCTGTTCGCTATCAGTTTCTCTACTTGTAATAGGGTTTGTAAGCGAACAGCATGGATCCTGATCAGACTGCGCAGATGCGCAGGCTGGTCTGGATCCATGCTGGTCGCAAACGCACTATGTTGGTTTTGTCGTGACACGGCTCATTTATTTTAGAATGTATTAATTTAGTTTATACAAATTTATTCTAGTAAGACTGAGTTGAAATCATGAGGCCAGCAATTATTAGATTACCAGTCCTAAGTGTTAACCACTCGGCCACGCCACCACTCAATATAGAATGTATTCATACCTGAAGACCAGGCTGACTGGCGAGAAACATCCGTATAGCTTCAACACTACTCCGTAGTCGGACTGAGGCTCTCTCTGCTGGAAAACTTGGGTTGATCAAATCATGAAATACCTCGTTTGTTACATCATTGCCAAACAAGGAAAAGTAAAAGAAATACCCAGCTCCTTGAGGTAATGGCTGTGTGCTTGGTATTAACTGAAAATATTATTTTTCAACTGATAATTGATATATCATTATGATATAAAACAAGAGAACTGCATGCAATGTTTACACTCCTCTGTTAAAACAACCACTTTTTACAAAAATTCAAAGTTCAAAAGGGGCATTTCTCTAAAAATATATCAGAAGTATGCCCCTTGTCTAACAACTGCACCTTGTCAAAAATAAGCAAGTATTTCAAGTTTTTATGTTGATTACATTTGAAATGTTTGAAAAAATGGGTGACATTACAATGTAGTTTTTTCATGGCAACAGCAACAACACAGAGATCATAATAGCTTCACTCTGCCTTCAAAATAAACAAGTTAATAATGTTAAGAAAAGATATTTCCAATTAGAGTACACATTCTTGTCAAACACATTGCATATATTTTTTATGCTATTAATGATATAAATATTTAAATGGTAGGATTGATAGTTACCAAGATATCAAATGACCAAAAAATGTTTTGAAAGTGGCATTAAAGACAAACAATTAAATGCATATTTTACCTGTGTAAGATTAGTCGCAGTTGCTATGGTAACTGATAAGACAAATTGTTCAGTACACTGTTTAGCTGGACCAAGCTGATAGTACCCCTCATCTTCATTTAAAATAGGCTTTAACAGTCGTGTGTCTTTGTCCTTAACAGGTGAATCTGTCTCTATTACTGTTGTAAACGAGAAAATATGAAAACTTTTACTCAAAACTATATTCATGTAAAGCTTTAAATGCAATATGCAAAATATGATGCAAATTCACAAAACATCTACCCCATTTCAGAGAAAGGTATGCATATTTTGACATGTTTAAGGGATTTTCTGTGGAGACTTAGTGCCTAAGGCTAGATATAATTACTTTATTAGATCTATTTTCTTTATTTGTACAATTGATAACTATTTTATTCATTAGAACAATTTTTTAGTTTTCATAAAAAAAAAAAAAATTGGAACAGTGCTTCTTTTACAATTTTCACCATGCCACCATTGAAGAACCTAGCCAGCTAACATCTCTTTGCAGACATATCAGTTTATTATACTTTTTGTATAGGATGTTACTTTTAAATCTGTCATTTAAACTCTTAAAAATTCCTATAATTCCAATAACTGACAAGTCCATGTTCATACTAGGACATTTCTACCACCAAAGTTAAAGGAGGTAAAGAATAATATGTTTTTGCAAGAAAAAAACATTGACCATAAAATTATTACTGATACAAATTTTTAGTTTTCTTACATCTTGGTGGCGCCTCTTTTGCCTTAAAGCTTGTGTTGACTTCGGCAGATTTGTCCTCGTCTAAATACAATCCAAGCCTGATCTCTGGTTTGTTTTTATGATACTTTCCCAATAACAACGGGTACCATTTTGTTGTCTGAAGTCGTAAAATAATAATTTCATCATAAATACAACAGATCTGATTTTTCTGAACAATGAATATTTTAAAAAGTACATCTGATTAAACCAACTAAAGAAATTAAAATTTATAGTTCATCATTCACACGCTGAATTCCTAAAATGGACCTGACAAGTGTCTATTTTATTTTAACAGTCAATAAGCAATTTCACAAAATTTTGGGATGTCAAGATAAAAATATAAAGTTAGTCAGGCAACAGTATAGAGCCTGGTCAGGTTGCACAGATATGCTCAGCAGCTGGCTGGCTGGCCTGACTCAATACTTGTGGCAAAGGCTAACCCATTTCAGTTCCTGCAGGGTAAGGTTTAAAAAAGAAACACATTATAACTTATATCATCTTCTCATTAAAAATGTTCAATGACTTAAAAAAACAAGAGCTGTTGGTACAACAGCATAATTGACTATTCTCAATGCATGATTGAAAAATAAGAGCCTGGATAATGTAGAATTTTGTAAGTTCAGAAAGGGTCAAAAGTCTGTCAAAATCCATGTAAGTTAGTTAAAATAATAAGTTATATAGGCCGTGAACGGTGACCTTCTATTATGCTCTCAAATAAGTGTGTGAAGTTTCCACCCATTAGTAACTTTAGTTGTTGTTAAAATTCCAACTTGCACGCAAAAACTAAAGTGTGACACCTACGCTGGGGTGAGTATAACAGCTGTCACTATTCTTTGAATAGTCATGCTAAAAATTAACAAAACAAATTTTGTGCAAAGCATAATAGATTCCTCTGCAGTATTTTCATCCGATGTTATTTCTATTTAATTTTTACAAACTTGATATCATACTTGTTTATTATGAGCAGATCTAAGATCCAGCACAACATATCCTATAGCTTCCTTCACAGAAGTGTTTGTATCCACAGCATAACATTGTATCTTTATGGATGTTCTCTGCAGCCTATGCTGTTGCAGACCTTTCTTGTCTAGCTCCCAGGCCAGCTCTTGTGTTATATCTGGTGTCTCAACATGATCTACAGGGTCTGTAGACAACAGTTCTCCATCAAACTTTGCCTCCGCTATCAGCTGGTGCCGTGGTCTCCTTGGAAACCTGCGACCTGTAAATGCAGATGACATAAAAATGTATCAATGACAAAAATAAAATTCAATTCAACCTTTTCTTACCATATCTTTTCTATATAGAAGATATTTATAACCTACCTTAACTTAGGCTTAAGGACAACTACTTATAATCCATGTCTCTTAATGTAAGAAGTAGGGGTGAGTGGAGAGATACTATCAGTTTTGTAATCTAACAATTTTTAGTGAAGTTTTATATTTAAAGAGTCACAATTTAAAAGTGGGTATTATTTACTCAACAGAAAATTGTTACTTAAATTATAAAAACAATCATTGCTTCAGTGCAAAGTATATCAACGATTATAATATCAATATGGATAACAATTATCAATGATACACTGATGTATTGATAATAACTTTTAATTCCTTGTCTATAATTCACTTTTAAAGCTGTTTAAAAGATTTCAGTCATATACATGTTCTACTCATACATATAAGACCTATTGAGGGTTCTGTACCGCCGTACATATTGTTACACCTCTAATTTTAGATGATGAACAGCTGTAATTATATATGCTGTAATTTATGCATCTTGCATTTGGTGTCAAACTGACATTGTAACTACTATAACATATTTAGTGAAAAAGGCATATCTCACAGAGTTCTAGATAATTTTTTGACACTGGGGGTAATTACCCCCACTTTTCAGAATATGAGGGTAAATTTAGATATATCATAAATCTAAAGAGTACAATTAAATGACCTTACTTTCTTTGCTGCATCACAGTTTTATTACATTAAAATTAACACACCATTCTCTGATATTCAGGCTTCAGCATGAATCACTTCAATTGAAAGGCTGTTACCATATTCTTAATTTTATTTTACATTGTTTACAACAAAAATCGGTGACAATACATAAACTATAACATTACAAATTATCACCTGTCAATTGCTGATTTCTGTATATTTATTGCACCTTCATTAGCCCATACATACATGTAGCCAGCTTTAAATTTATGACAAGTCAGACATTTCATTTGCACTTCAATAATTTGCAGCCACGGAAAACTTTTTTAACAATTTTCAAGTGTTGTTTTGTGATTCACAGTTATGTGAGCCCTTTTCACTTTAAATACACTATCTAAAATGTCTTCAACAATTGGGTTTACAATTCTTTTAGCAGGCAACTCAGTTGTGTAAAAAAAATTGTCAATTTTCCTGTGCTTTGGCTTGGAAGCAGCCATGATGTAAGTCTTTATTAATAAACGCTTGCAATAATAAAGGAAATCAAGCAACACATTTTAGCAAGCGCCTATGCGATAAAGACATAATTTGACTGGTTTACAGAATGAAAAATAGTTGGAAATATTTGGGCGGGTATTAAACGGAAAAAAGAAACACAGTCAAATGTTAAACGGAATCAGCTGTTTCGAAAATGAATGTACTCACCAAGAACGCTTCGATTTTTTATTCTTTGCGTATTTAAATTATAGCATGCGTAAATTAACGCAAGAAATTTGAAATATGGTGCGTATTGAGTTGATTTTGAAGCGTAAAATACGCCGATACGCATGTTATCTGGAACTCTGTCTCATTATAACTTATCTTACACAGTAAATGGCTCTAACTTCGGAGCCATAATTTCACAAATTCTTCTTCTGATAGATCTAGATGAATTTGGTAGCCAAAATTAAAATTGACCCAGAGAGAATCTTGAAGAGAGGCTTATCAATGATAATTTATAATAACATACTTATCTGCAAGCCATTAATTAAAATTTGCCTTTGAGTCTATAATACAACCTGATAAATTTCAAGATTGGACATGTCTAAGCAATGTTTGAAGCTTTAAAAATAATATAAAAATTCTGTCTATAAAATTACCTTCTAAAACAGATACAACAACAAGAAATCTACCCTTTTCAACCATTACTGTCTTTTAACTATTGACAAATCAAAAGAAAACAATGAAATATTGTTTGACAGTTAAAGTGTTTTGAAAACAGCCGCCATATTTGTTTACGCATCAATGAATACCTAATTACCACAAAGAAGGAAAAGTAACACAAAGTTTCGAAAACTACACGTTTTTTTTTTTAAAGATGGATAATGGCCAAAAAGAACACATTAAATGTTCAAGATTTTGTGAAGAAAATTGTCCAAATATTAGGTAAATTTTGCACACAGATGTTCTTTCAGACAATACGCAAACACCTCACAGTGACAGAAAAAATTATCTTTGTACTCATAAGGGGAAATCACTGCGTAGGAGATTGGCAACACATAAGTTATTTGCTGAAATTTTTCAGTTCTACCCTTATGGTGCCCATTATAGGTATACTACCTTAGATTAAAATAAGATAAAAAATAAAATTAGAAATCCGCCAATATACTCATTTGTGCATTAAAGAAGCTTAGAGTATGGTCGGTAGGTATGCATATTTTGAATTAAAATTTCTCAAAATTTAATCTACATGTATTTGTAATTGAAAGTGATCACCATTTCGCATTAACATTATTGTTTGAGATTAATGTTCACTAGACCATATCTCAATACTTTTAAATAAAAGTTTCTTGACATAACACGTCATTGAAGAAAAAGTTTAAAGAGGCTTATTGCCAGTATCTTGATTTAAGTAACACTGATGCCCAAATTGGCAACAAACCAAACACTAAAAGTCGTACCCTTTTATCAAACATTCAAAACAAGATAAATCTGCTATTCCCCCATTAAAGTATGAAAATAAATTACAACATGATGATGTCTCAAAGGCTACTGCTTTAAACAAGCAATGTCAGTCAGTATTTAGCCCCAAATCTTCCACTTTTCCTTGCATCCTTGTGTAAAATGAACCTTAAGCATGGTCAATCCGTCCCTTCTATGCCAGATATCCGAATAGGAGCAAAAGGAAAATAACCTAAACCGGTCCGGATAAAATTATACCAATAATCCTTAACACACTTTCTGCACTTGTAGTCCCAATCTTCAAGAAAGGTGTTAGGTCAATCCCTGCAAATTATGAGCTTAATTTTTAAATATGCGTATTGTGTACGGTTATTGAACACATAGTTTTGTCTTCCAATATCAAACATTTTACCACCTTCAACATAGTTTCAGGGGAAAAGGACATATGTTACGCAACTTGTTATGTTGGTAAATGGCCTGGTCGGAGAAAAATCATGAAGCTGATTCTTTTATATTTCAGTAAGGTTTTCGATAAGGTCAGTCATGACAAAGTACTGCTGAAAATACACGACAATGTAATCAGAGTTCAAACTCTTAAATGGTCAAATGTTTTTTATATAACTGCAGTCAGATAAATGGCAGTGCAGCTCAAAACCGATCCAATATCCTCAGGCGCCCCTCAAGGCTCAATTCTAGGAACCCTCCTGTTTCTGACTTATATAAATGACCCCCCACTATACATAAATTCCCAGGTCCGCTTTTTTGCAGAACATTATTACTGCAATATACATTGCTCTGACATCTGCAAACCAACCAGTCATCCTCCAAAATGACTGAAATCTATTAGAAATGTGTGAGTTGGAGTGGGATATTGCATTTAACCTCCCCAAGTGTCCAAACCTTAGGTTTCCAACAAAGAAACATAAAGGCATAGAGGCATATGGGTTGTCTGAGAATGCATGTGCACTAGTTTCAAACTATCTATTAAACCGAAAACAAACAGTTAAAATAGGAGAATATCACAGCACGTGGCTTGAAACAATTAATCTTCATGAATGATATTTTTTACTTTATAGATAAGTCCATCCTCAAAACAATTATGCAGATGACAATACTTTAGCCTTCTCCAACTCAAAAATAGACATACTGAAAAATAACCTTAGAAAATGAAAGCAAAATACTTATTAATGACTTCCGCAAGGTTGAAAACTATAAGGAGTTTGGTAGACTGATCCAGGTCAGGAGTTGCTCAAGTTGTAAATGTGCTATGTGTCCGTAAATTTGCAATGTGTTTGTTGATTTGCTTAGTTTTAGTTTATGTATAATGCTTAGACTGCATGTTTGTTTGCTTTGGAATTTTTTTGTACGTCCCTTTTTAGTTTGCTTCGATTAAATGCTGTATGTTATTTTTCCTTCAAACCCCGTATTTTTATGCTTATTGTATCCTTGCTGTCCGGCTTGTATGTTTGTTCTAAATGAAATTCCTTATTTTTTCTTCCATTAGGCTGTGTATGCAACGTAATTTTAGTTAACTTTGTTTGTCATCCTGTATGTGCTTTATCTTTATTTCATGCAGTTTTAGTTCTATCATAAAATGTTTCTGTACTTTTTTAGTCCATCTTTAATTATGTATAAACTCTAGATGTTAACTATTAACATTTTAATTAATTTATATTTTCCTTATTATTATTTTTATTTATTTCACATTGCTATATGTATCATACTTAAATTGTCAGCTCATTCTATACTACAGTAGTTTATTACTTTTAAACTGTTAGTCCCTTTAATACAATATGTACTGTGCATGTCATTATAATTTGCTTTTATTTGTCATCTTATTGTATAGTTCTTCTCAATCTTGCTACTTTTTTTCATGCCTATAGTTGCTCCTAGTTTTAAATATTTTTACTTTTCAGATCTGTTATATTTTAGATAATATGTTTTATGTCTTTGTTATTGTCGGTAAAAAGTTTATTAGCTAATGTTTCTTGTAATTTGTAAAGGGACTTAAAATAAAGTTCTTGTATCTTGTATCTTGTTAAAACCCAATTCATTAAGTCCGTTGCTTACCAGACGTTAATCAGACCACAGCTTAAATATGGTTTCGAAGTATGGTCTCTCCACACCAATATGCAAATACATCAAATTGAAAATGTCTAAAGAAGAGCAGCCCAATGGATCAAGCTAGATAATGGTCAGAAATCTAACGTCACATACATGCTTCACTCCCTTAAACTTTCAAAACTGGAACTCAGGCATATAGATACTAGCTTATCTTTTTTCTACAAGATTCACCATTGTCTGAGTAGTAGTAGAATGTGTGACACCCCTCTCCCGAACATCCCGCCATGGCAATCCCCTGTGTTATAGGTTATTCACATGTACTTCAGATGGATAAATGGACGGACGGATGAACAGACATACAGACGGGAAGACATATATACAGACAGAAGACACTCCCGTCTAAATAAGCCTGACGGCAATAGAACGAATTTCACGTGCATTTCAGTTTATTTGGTATTTGCCACTCTACAGTAGCATAGAATTTTTTGAAAAATTGAGGATGCATATTAATTACTTATAAAATTTTCTTGTTGTAAAAAAATCGTTTACAAAAAAACATATTTTTAAGTTTCTCCAAGTTTTGTTAAATAATAGATTTATTGCAGACTACCTTCCACGTACACCTCAAAATATAAAAATCCTAAAATGTTATATCCAATGCAATATACAAACGTAAAACATTTAGTGGTCTCGAATTGACATATTTCACATTGCGTAATTTTGCCTAGTCACCGGACTCATAGAATTATCTCCCTTGACGAAGGATTTCTTGTTTTGATTTTTTTTTAGAATTTTATATCCCTTTTAAAAAACAAATGATTATTGTATATGCATCTTAGTTTAGAAAATAATGTAAAACATCATGATTACTAAATCCAAACATAAAGGTGAGAAAGTACTTAGCAGTGCGCACTTTTCATTTTGACTAAAAAAAGTAAGCTCTACAGAAATTGCTCTTGTGAAAAAATGTAGATTCTAATTTTTGCAAATAGTTTTATTAACATTTCAATTGCGTACTGATAACATGGTTAGACTTCGATAGATTTTCAATATAGTCCATAAGATGTACAGATAGTTCTATAGTCCTAATTATAAGACCTATACGTAACCTATTTCATATTTATCATTCATTAATCTGATATTTTACATTTTTCATTTTCCATGTTACGTTAGGTCTTAACAGATCTTTGCAAAATCGTGTAGCAAAAAAATTGACATTAGACATCGATTTAGATCTAATGAATTTAAACAATTAAAACAGCGTGTATTTACATTAATTTTGACCTATTTATGAACAAAACTAAAAAATGAATATCTTTTAATAAAATTATTGAACTGTCACATCCGAAAAGACATGATTAAATCCTCTCATTTAATTAAATTCCTTGTACAGCCGATATACAAATGGCCGCCATACAGTGCGCGAAATCTGATTGGCTAATTCAAATGCAAGCGTTTAAATGAGTCCAGAAGTTTCTAACGGAATATTTTTTCAACGAAATAATTTCCCATGCACCGTCAGTGTGTTCGAATATATTTTTCCGTTCAAAAAATTGGAATCAATCTGTAAAACGCCTTACTTAACCAGTATGGCCGATGAGCAAAATAGACTGATATTTATATTTTATTTTTAATTAATAAGTACATTGTTTGAAAGTTTTTGTTAATGATAGACCATGCAATTGAAAGAACAGAATATAAGCTTTTGAATAAAGCTTGAAAGGCAAGTCAACAGACATTTTTTTAATTTTTCAAAATGCTACGCGTTTATGAGCAATAACTATTAGACGTCAGACTTGACCAACATAAAACTATAACAAGCCTGTAACGTCTAATCTATTGGACTAATAGTTCTAGCACAGACACTTGGGGTTTGGAGCTCAAAACGCCTTTAAAATCCAAATAAAATGCATATTTGTCAATCCCAGCTCATGTACTGATCATATATATCAAAAAAACTTAATATAAGCCGTTTTGAAAAAAAATCATATTTCAACATCTATAATAATACACAAGATAAAAATGTTCGCCGGAAAAAATCCGCACCCCTACCGTCATAATCACCATGTATTTTAATCCATTTCCAATATTTTCACATAATCCTTTGGTCAATCGACACAGAAGATATAATTCTTCACGATGATGGTCAATTTTAAACCGTTTTTTTTCAACGACAAAATGTTTCGATAAATTCAATGGACCAGACGGCTATGAACAAAGCTATCCGATTATGTGGCCCCAGCTTTGCCGTGTGCAAAATGCGCAGCGCTTTTAAGTTTGGGAACCACATAATCGGATAGCTTCGTTCATAGCCGTCTGGTCCGTTGAATTTATCGAAACATTTTGTCGTTGAAAAAAAACGGCGATAATATTGATGTTAATTTCGGCTGTTGCGTTGTTTATATTACCGTTGAAGTTTAAAATTGACCATCATCGTGAAGAATTATATCTTCTGTGTCGATGGACCAAAGGATTATGTGAAAATATTGGAAATGGATTAAAATACATGGTGATTATGACGGTAGGGTTGCGGATTTTTTCCGACGAACATTTTTATCTTGTGTATTATTATAGTTGTTGAAATATGATTTTTTTTCAAAACGGCATATATTAAGATTTTTTGATATATATGATCAGTACATGTCCTGGGATTGACAAATATGCATTTTATTTGGATTTTAAAGGCGTTTTGAGCTCCAAACCCCAAGCGTCTGTGAGTTCTAGCACTTAGATGTGTAGTCAATATATTTTGATGCTCCAATTCCAAAGCTAGATTGTTATTGCCCTTACAAAATGTTTTAATGCGTAGTGCAATAAGTGGATCTATCTAAAGCTAAAGTCTTGAGTGTGCCCATTTTAAAACTGTAACAAGACAGTTACGTGAAGACAACACCTTAGGGAAAGGGGCATCAGGGAACGAAAAAAAATTTCAGAGCAGGACGAGTACAGTGTTTCTTGCGTTTTTGATGCAATAATTTCTCGAAGGATGCATTTAAAAAATGCAAAGCGTGTTTTTTATGATGCAGTCATAATCTACCTTAATTACATAATACATGCCTTCATTTTAATGCATATTTTAAGTTATTTCTCCTATTATTTGCGCCAACCGTTTTAAATCAGCTATTATTGTTTGGTTATCCAAAATGACCATCCCAAATTATCTATTTCCTGTAAATGCGGGTATGTGTAAATTGCTTACAGATTCTGTGTAGTTTACTGTTACTGGCACAACATTTAACCGTTCTGCAATCAGTCACGGTCTCCGGGATCTAGACATGTACAATCTAGTAAATCAAGCGATTTGTGCATGCAGATGTTTTTCTCACAATGGCAAACACACCACGAAAGATAGGGGCCCGGCTTCAATCAGAGACATAGATAACAATGTTATCTACAACTATGCTTTAGTGGCCAAAATATCAAAGTTTCTGCAATAAACAGACATCTGACAGATTAAATGTTTTAATGCAAATAAGGCCTTGGTTCTTCTTTTAAAAGAGTTTTTGTTTGCAACCGCAAAAAGTGAGAAATTGAAGTTAAAAGGAGAAATCAAAATTCAAACATTCTGAGATTAATACTTTTTACTTTTTTAAAATTTAATCCTTAATAATTTCAAATGACAACAAAGGGTCACAAATGACCCCCCAAAAAATCTAGTCTGGCAAGTACATGTAAATCTACACTGCAAGTAGCTTCAAATTTTTACTCCTTCTGCATGCTATGCAACTCATCCTGCATTTTTGGCATGATTTTCAAGATAAACTTTGCCGATGCAATAGAACCTCTCAATGCAATAGACCACTAGAAATTCTCATAATCAGTTGATTACAAAATTTAACAAACCAAAACTGGACAAAGCTTGTGTTTGAGGTTATGAAATCAGAATAAATCACACACTTTATTCAGCATTGCTAGGCACATGCCAGTCAAATCCGTATCCAATTAACAAAGTGTTTAGAGCTTTATTGTTAAAGTGCTCAATTTATACATAACCTAAGACACAACCCTTGTTTCCGGTTTTCAATTGTTAAATGTAAACAGACTGATAGGAGAATTTAAGAGGTCTATTACATCAGCAAATTTCTGCATACTACAATTTTGTACTGGATAGATAAAAAACTACTTAAGTTCCTACTATTTATTGTTGTATTAATGTGGTGGCATAGCATTTTTTCACAAATTTTATCCAATCTTGTTTTCCAGATGGACTATGTGGGTCTTCCAGAGAGCAGTTACATGCAAGAATTGGTAGGGAACTGTTCCTCTATACACAGAGGCGTGAACTTGGATGTAGAAATTTTTGTTACACTAATCCTCATAGGATTGTTGATGACTATGCATCGCAACTGATGCCACAGCTGTTTCAGGAGAAAGAATACCGTCTCGGACAAATAAATAAAATATTTTCTTCTCAATGGCTCAATACAAAACAAATTGTATTCGGTACAAAATGTAATAAGGTAATAAGCATTATGGTGTATTTAAAAAAACATTCTTTTAAAGGTCATATAACTTTACTAGGCATCAAAAATGTTTTCATTAAAAACTCATGCACATGTATTAACCCATGTGAGTTTAACATGAGTAGTGTAACTGTGAATATGCAATGTTAGTCATTTAAAAAAATTTCAGATTGAAAACTGACAAAGAAATCATTGGAAACTTACTGATTGATATTTTTTCAGGTCTGTGATAAGCTTAGAACAGGGTTTTCATTTTTATTTGAGGCAACAGATGCTGTAAAGAAAACAACTGATTTTGCCAAGGGTCAAGGGTGATACTGTAATATACAGGCTGAAAATACAACCAATTTTAACAGCATTTTAATCAATTGTTTGGATCGCCAATCAAGTAATAATGAAAACCCTGTAAGCATACAGACATGGTAATCTGTTATTATTTTCAAATACATATCTATCGTGTTTTTTTTTGTTACAGTTAGAAGTACTGGATTTAAACACAGGTAACCTGGATCATATACCCTCTTTAAAAAGTAGTAATAACAGTGTACCTGCTAGTTGTCCATGTGGTATTCACAGTATTGCTGTCAATCCATCAAAAACTCTTCTTGCCACAGGAGCTGAAAATACTAATGATTTAGCTGTGTATAAATTACCTACATTTGATCCAGTTTGTGTAGGAGAGGTAAATATTATTATTGTTTTTATGGCTATAAATGTCAAGAATTATCCCTATTTAGTCATGTATTAAAGAACTGGGTTACAGATCTGCAATTTGAGAATTTGATTCTTGGGCATTTTTCATTGACAGTTTGATTGACATTACATTTTCCAGCCATTCATCCTCCTCAATGGTTTTATCACACTTGTAACCATTGTATACTTCTTTTTACTTCACATGTTTAATATGAAATGGCATATGGTCATGAGTCTTATGTATTTTTAAAGGGTGGCTAAGATTGATTTGGCAATTATTATGCCCTCACATATTCAGGGATTTGCCCGTGTGTGTCTGTCATCCTGTCTGTACACTGATAAAACAATGGAATGTGGGAGCATTCGTGTCCTATAGACATATTTTTTAGTTTGTTTGTTTTGTACATATGATGAATTAAAATAAAAGTGATATTTTTGGGTCAGAAACAGAAAAGAAATTCCTTTTATACAGCATTATCAAATACATCATTGCCACTTCTTTATAATTCTACCAATCTGGTTTACATAATGTTAGATAAGTTATAAAAAAGAATTAGTTTTTTTGAGGGTTTGTGACATATTGACTTACAAATGTTCATATTATGTTACATACATGTACTAACAGACTTATTATATTTAAAAAAAAGTGAAAGTGTAAACTTATATTTAGTTTAACTTTAATAGAGAATTTACTTTAGTTCCATTGTGTAGGAAGCTATAAGCTTATATCTGTTCCTGCAACCAACCAATAGTCCAATACTGAACAATGAGAGTAAAGTTTCTTGCTCAAGAAATCAACAGCTTATCTCTTACTTGGTTTGAACACACGCAGTTAGCAATCCTTAGATTACTTCTTTGAGGTGTAGCCATTTGACCAACTTTAAAGCCTATGTTTTTTGTCACTTGCCTGAAAGTGAAATCATGTATATGGATACATTAAAATGTGTTTTATTTCATTCAGAGAGCACACAATGACTGGATATTTGATATTTGTTGGCTGGATGATGAATTTCTTGTAACAGGTACAATATATATATATATATTTAACAAAACTTTAGAGCACATATAAGACATGCACATATTTAAAGCATTTCCTTTTATAGTTCCAATGCAGAAAAATCTTAATTCTTGGCTAAAAATGTTTGTTTAATAAGCAAGCTAAATTGGATTTGGATCAAAGCCAGAATTGAAAGTCAACAGTAAAACACATACATGTATACCTCTCTGTCAGCACTTGTATGTTACATGTTATTGGTGACTGGCATGGTTGTTCCTTTTTCTGATCAATTTTACTTAACACTGCTTTTAGAATACCATGTAAATGGAAAATGATAGTTTTCATTTATAAATGAATCTGTATAGCCTTGCCTAAAAAGTTTTCATTTATAAATGAATCTGTATAGCCTTGCCTAAAAAGTTTTCATTTATAAATGAATCTGTATAGCCTTGCCTAAAACACTTTAATGAAGAGTAGACATTAAGAAACTGTTTTTTAAGGATTTTTTTTATTGAAGAGAGTTTTCCATACACTAATGACAACCAGCATCAACATACTAAAAACAGTGGTAGCATAGTGGTTAAGGTGTCTGCCTCTGAACGAAGGGATCATGGGTTGGAGTCTTGCTCGGTACTAGTTAGTATCAAAAAGCAGACTATAGGATGTGAATGAATGAATTTGTACAAACTTGTTTTACAAGATAAGTAAAAAAAGTATAATAAAACCATCTGACTGAATTAATATTTATTTCTGACTGTAGATGATATGGAATGAAATAGAAACTATTTATTAATATTTCTAGGTTCCCGTGACAGTCATCTAGGATTATGGAGAATTGATGGGTTTGATGACGTTGATTCATCACCTCTAAATAGTTTACAGGTACCTGAGTACAGTATTACATCTCCTCTCCTTGTCAAGGAATGTACGGACGCAAGGAAAGTGCGAGCTCTAGCTTACCATGATGAGAGAAAGGTATTATATATAATATTTGTTAGTAACAAATGTTTCACATTCTTAAGCACATTTTATTGTTTTAAGTGAAAATCATATTTTTTAGTCTGTTAAGTATTTAAAAGCTTGGATTTAGTGTGTACAGAAATACTATTTTTTCACTGTATGGCTTGATAAGAGTAAAAAGAGGTATCAAAATGAGTTGCACCAGTGCATTTGTATTTGAAACAAATGTACAAGAGTGTTTAAAGTAGTACAGTGTTCAATGTGATTAAAGCTGCTTCCTAGATTTTATGTCTAGGGGCCATTGTAGCTAAGCAAATGAGTTTGCAGCCTTTGGGTAGCTTTTCTGTCAGTTTGAATCCTGTCAGAGACATAGGATTCGTGTGAGGAATCTATCCAACCAGTTAACCAAAGGTTGTTGAATCTATTCAGGTGCTTTTTTTGTGACTGAAAGAATACAGAGCACCTGATGTTCTCTTGAATAGGTGGTAATGAAAAGTCATCATATGACCAGTACTGTGTTAATAGTCAATGGGCTTGTGATGTTTAAGACAAATAAAATTTCCATCATAGTATTAAACCCAAATCCCCCATTATACACACATTCATAAAGGAAATATATATTTTTGAAAAGTTGTATGTAGGTGAGAACAAGAACATTTTATTTGTTATGAAATTAATGTTAAATGTTTTACCTTTGCAGGAATTAGCAGTTTTGTCTTTAAATGCATACTTCCATATATGGGATGTAGAAACATTTAAAATGGTAAGTAATAGCTTCTTCAATTTTAAATGTTTGAGTTCAAAGAATGACATTTAAGTTAATTCATTGTGTATATATTTACTTGTAAATATTTATTGCTTGTGTGTTTATTTTATTGTATACTTTTAAACTTTGGTATATAGTTTTTAACTTGACTATTATGTTTAAATAAAAGGGAGAGCAATGCTACTGACCCTGATATCTTATGGACAACTCTTGTTAATATATCTAGTTAGAAGTGACAGAAATAAGATCTCATTTTCTTGTAGGTATATAATCGTAAACTACAGAACAGTAAGGAGAATGTTTGTATGTGTGTGTCAAAGCCTAAGACATTGTATGCTATTGGGTCACAGTCACATGTTAACTTGGTAGACCCTAGATCGAAACATACTCTTACTACAATTATTTCTAAATACAGAGGAGGTGGTGAGTTGTTTTTATTGTATTTGTATCATATATCTACCTATACAGTGCTTTTTTAAGCAATTAATAAGTTAAGAGATTAAGTTTGACAATGTCAAAAAGTAACCATGTAAATATGTGATTGTCTTGGATATGCAGAAGAATTAGAAGATTATTTTGCTATATTAAGCACAGCACTGTTTCCATATATGGCACCAGTAATAGTTTGTCTAGAAAGTAATTTTATTTAGCTTGAAAGTTTCTTCAGTAGTGAAAATGATAAGAATGCCATGTATTTTACTGGACATATTTTAGCTGTGACAACTATCATTGTACATTATGCCTTTCACAATGAAATAACATGTCTCTGAAAATGTTAAAATCTTAGAATTTAAACAAATTTTGTCAAATATTGATATTGCTTTTAATGTTATAAGAGTTCTTTATCTGTTTTATCACATGAACCATGGATCAGGAGTGTACTAAAGCCATTTTATAAAAACAATATTTCTTTAGTGAAATTTGATGCAATGCGACGTCTTTTGCGTTATACAAACATAGCGAAAATGCATGCTAATGTTAGTGTTAGACGGTAAAGTATAGGCACGTCAATGAAAAAATAACTTTTTATGCCCCCACATAGTGGGAGCATATAGCGTTGCACTTGTCCGTCCGTATGTACGTCTGTCCGTACATCCCGAAATCTTGTGAACACAACTCCTCTTAAACCGGATGGCAGATTTTGTTTAAACTTCCAGGGATGAACAACCTTAATGTGTAGAGGGTAGTAAAGGAAGGAATTTTTGCTGCGACCAAATTTAACAGAATTATGGCCCTTTGTTGATTTTTTCACTATATACTATGTAGATTATTTTGTGAACGCAACTCCTCTTAATACGGATGGCAGATTTTGCTTTAACTTCCAGGGATGAACAATCTCAATGTGTAGATGGTAGTAAAGGAAGGAATTTTCGCTGCGACCAAATTTAACAGAATTATGGCCCTTTGTTGATTTTTTCACTATATACTATGTAGAAATTTTGTGAACGCAACTCCTCATAAACCGGATGGCAGATTTTGCTTAAACTTCCAGGGATGAACAACCTTAATGTTTAGATGGTAGTAAAGGAAGGAATTTTTGCTGTGACCAAATTTAACAGAATTATGGCCCTTTGTTGATTTTTTCACTATACATGTATACTATGTAGAAATTTTGTGAATGCAACTCCTCTTAAACCGGATGGCAGATTTTGCTTACACTTCCAGGGATGAACAACCTTAATGTGTAGATGGTTTTAAAGGAAGGAATTTTTGCTGCGACCAAATTTAACAGAATTATGGCCCTTTGTTGATTTTTAGTTTTCAACTTGTGGCACATGTAGTCCAAAAAATATTTGACCAAGAGTCATAAGATTGACAGAACAGTGGCGTGTGGGGGCATCCGTGTCCTATGGACACATTTCTAGTTTTTACTGTAAACTGAATTTATTTTGGATATGTGATAAATAGAAATGTTTTTGATATTCCACAAGAGACTCACATAATATGATTTTAATCAGCTTATTCCATAAAAAGTTAGTATTAAACTTATACTCATTCCTCTATTATATTACAGGTATACGATCTGTTAGTTTCCATGAAGATATTATAACTATAGGTACTGGTACAGGCCATATATTATTCTTTGATCTGAAAGGAGGGAAATATCTTGAAAGTGGATGCGGTCATTCTTGTGCATTGGTTCTTGGCAAAGGTTGGCTGGTAAGTAAATGACATATGTATTTATATGTACATTCCTAAACACAAATTATCAATTGGCATTTAAGTTAAAAGAATGGTATTTGTGACATTTGGCCTGCTATCTGCAACAGATTCTATCCATTTGACCAGTGCTGTTCAGTATCAGCTGGCAAGTCCATGCATCTGACCATAATTAGAAAATGATCTGTTCTATGGTTGTGACACAAGAAGGGGTTTAAACCTTCGATTCCTATGTTAAGAGATCTGAACCATCAAGCCACCACTTTTATGACTGTTGGTTTTGAATGGATAAGTAATTGCATTTTGATGAAAAATGTACGTACGAGGGTTGTCCCAAAAGTCCGTGACAAATTTTATAGGTGGTTCATTTTTAACGCTAATAGATAATAATTCACACACATTACCGTTAAGGTTATTATTTAACATTATAACAAATCATTTACAAAATATTTACTCTAGTTACTTAGAAATATTCAGTATTAAGGACATTGGATTGAGTTGCCTGCGCACGTCAAATAACCTGTATTTTGATACGAATAGGCTAAAATTAATAACGTATATTTCAAATATCTGATGATGTGTCTGCACAATGCCACGTTGACTTCCTCTGCTGTTATGTTTACATCATCTCAGAAAATTTTAGTTAAATAACTTAAGAAACGAACAGCCTACGGATAAATGAAAATATCTCATAAAAAATAGGAAAGTTAAAATGGCGACATTCGAAGAATTTGCGGCGCAGTGAACAGATCATTCAGGTTTTGTGACTATTTCGAGATGACACATGCTATGATTTTCAACAAATATACCAAATAAAACAGTTTAGTAACATATCCTGAGCATTTGTGTACAAAAGGCATGAACGGAAACAGAGTTCTACACTACAAAAAACGAAAATAAGGAAAGCTTGAATAGGAAGACCAATCTCCGTCGCCTATTTCCTACAGCTAAAAGTAGGTGCAACCAGACTGGATGTTCGTGTGTAGCAAAAATTAATGTACGTCATCCAAACATTTAACAGACTTTAACAACCAATGATTTAAGTCTGTAATTGAAGATTTATGGGTAAAGCTGCATCATTATTGCGTTGAAAGCCATTGAGAGTATTTGAGAAAGGCGCCTTATATAGATTTAACGCCGTCTCTGACGTTAGACGTTCGCCGCGATTCGGATAGTTGCCATGGTATTTACGGCATATGTTTGTTGTTTGTTGATATTTTTCTATGTAAGTTTGTGAAAACGCTTCAATTATATGGGTTTATAACATATTAAAATATCAAATTCGTATCTATTTTAGATAGCTTTTAAACAATCTTGTCACAGAATATTGGGACAACCCTTGTACATTTGATCCATTAGAGAAATTTTCTTCATGTGGCTATGCAGCTATTTCTTTTCTCTGTAAATACTTTCTCGTAAGTACACATTTTTAACAAAGATAAAAACTGCTTAGACATTGGGTCTTTTTTTTCAGTTACATGATGAAAACTATATGGGATTCTTCATGCATCAATATAACCAGGAATTTCCGAATGCAATCTATACACATCAGTATGATGACTCTGGTACAAGATTATTTGTGGCTGGTGGGCCACTACCTGCAGGATTATGGGGAAATTATGCAGGATTATGGTCTTAGCATTGCTAAATGCTAGATTTTAAACTTTTTTTTCTTATATACATAGTGAAGTACAAACTTGTTGTTGTTGATTTTTTTCCATGCATCATGCATCAGTGTTTGAGAAAGATGAACTTGAAAGAGGAAGAACATTGTTTTTGTTGTAACGAACAGGTTAATTGTGCAGTTAAGTAGGAAAGTCGAATGATATGATTAGTGAAAATTTCATCAAATCATTTCAGTTTGTACCTAATACTTACCACCAAAAAATGCTTGAATATCTGATGCATATATGTTATGAAATTTTTACTGCTAAAATCTTAATGCTTAATCTTCCACTGACATTCCTTAAATGACTCCTTGGCTACAACATTAATTTATTTAGAAAATGAATACAAATGATAAAGGAAGCAGTGTTTGTGATCTGTTTGCATTAATTACAACACTTCAGGGTTGTGGTATTGTTGCACAATGATTACTAAAGGTGCTTATAAAGAATGAAAGGATTCCAGATTAAATTTTATCAAAAATTAGTCAATTTGCCTTTTTGTTTGTGTGTGTAAATATTAACATTTTTTTTCAAATGAAAGGGCATTAGCATATGAAGTATAAGTTTTGCAAGATATGTTCCTGCTTAAAAATAAAACAATCTATGGTTGGCAATTTATGTCTGCTAACTGTTCAATATTTATTCAGGCTGTGTACATAATTAATTTTTTGTTGGATTTGATTTATACAACTCTACAGAGTGTGGCATTGAATCTTAATTTTTGTATAAATTTTAAAGTGGATTGGTCTACAATGAGCACATTTATCATAATTATTTCAAATATTGATAAGAGTAAGAGAAATGTATCATTTGGAAATTCTTAAAAACATATTGCTTGGAAAAAAATGTTCAAGTTCTATATGATTCAGTATGAACAATATGAGCCGTGTCACGACAAAACCAACATAATTGGTTTGCGACCAGCATGGATCCAGACCAGCCTGCGCATCCGCGCAGTCTGATCAGGATCCATTCTGTTCGCTATCAGTTTCTTTACTTGTTATAGGGTCGGTAAGGGAACAGCATGGATCCTGATCAGACTGCACGGATGCGCAGGCTGGTCTGGATTCATGCTGGTCGCAAACCCATTATGTTGGTTTTGTCGTGACGCGGCTCAATTATTATGATGAATATTAATATTATGATGAATAATATTTTGTTCTAGGATACTTTTAAATCAGCTCAGCACTATAAAGATATGTAATATCGGATTATGTATCTCACACTTGCTGAAAGCTTCCATATACATGTACAATTATTTTGTGGTTTTTTGTTACATATGATACTAAATACTACCAACATAATTATTTATGGTTCTACAGACCTTCCATTATAGACCAATTCACTTTAAGGTTGAAGTTCTGCAATATCTATCAAGGCTACATGTCAGTTATTCATAAATATATTTAACTGATACAAATTTATAAATAAATTGAAATACCATAATTTTAGTCTGAAATTAGATAGAATAACAACACTTGGAAAACAAACACTAAGACTTTAAAGCAAGTTTAAGTTTCATATTAGTGTTGGAAGTCAAATTACCTAAAAAGTCTATGGGGATGAAACAGGAGAGAATATCATGAACAGTAACTACAAAATGTTGTTTTAATACATGCTTTGAAGAATGAATCTGTATATTATGCAGTAAATAATATAAATAATATTTTTGAGGTATTCCCCTAGTTGCATAATATTATATACTTTATGTATCATTTGTTAATTTTTTGTGTTTTCTTAAAGTTTGTACATTTTGTTATATTATTGATGACATTAATACTATGTTAGTCTACATACATGTATATTCAATTAAAATTTAAGTCAATAATTGTTATTGGGTCATTTAATTGAAATGTATTCCAAACTAAATTAAGTAATACAGAATAGGTGTTCATCTTTGCCGAGGAAGTGGTTATATTTTTGTGTATTTTGTATTGCTACTTTATTACTTGTGGGTCAATTGCCATGTATTAAGAATGTCTTATAAATTTTCAGATATTGTTTAATTGTGTTATTACTGCTGTGAATGTTAAATAGTTATGAGAATTATTTCTTGTACATGTATTTAATAAAAATCTAGTACATAATATTGTATGTCCCAGATGAATTGCAGCTTAAACTTTGAGGCATTCACACAGTGTTAATGTTTGTTCACGAACTTGCTGGAAAAAAATGTACTTTTATGTCACTTTTGATGAAATATTACTATTAGCTCAATTAGTTTAATTGTTACACTCATGTAATAGACCTACTCCGGAATTTAGAATATTTTTGGTTTTTCCTATCTAAGCCATAGGTACATACAAACTTTAAGAGTTACAGTTTTAAAAATAAGCGCAACAGGTTGACTAATCTATTGTGACGGGTAGTGCACTGTGAAGCTGTAAGGTAAAAGTTTGTTTGTATCAACACATTTGCTGAGTTCCGGATAATATCTATTAAGTTGGTGGGAAAGTATTAAAAGGCCAGAAAAAAACACACTGCTCATGTATAGGAAAAAAAAGATATCCAGATAAGAGTATAGTCTAGAAAATGTCATTGAATTGACACTCCATATACATAAATTTTTAGATTGGCTCCCTTCCTGTTAGGTCCATTTAAAGCTTTGCAGTTTTATTTCACCTACATGTATTGTCACCTCTAGATTTAATTTACATTTTTCAAATATTGGTATAAACTACAATTGTACATGTGCCTCATTTATATTTCTTGGATTATTTTCTAACATTCATATTTGGAGCAGTTATTTTCTTTATTTTGACATTTTAAGATTTGCAGTGTTAAATATGTTACTTATCATTATTATTTTTTGTTATTTTTAATATTGTTTTAGCTTGAAGGATGTAAAATATTCATTTGTGTCAAGAAAACTGATTGTATAAAATGTGTACATAGCATTTTGCTTTTTTAGAATTAATCACAAATTTACTGCATACCCATTTTGTTTTTCCATGTTGTTACCCAGTTTTATTTGGCATTTAAGCTCACCTGGTACAAAGTATGCTGTGATCATTAACGGTGCCCTCTGTTGGTCACATGATTGAATTAACTTATGTGTATATTGAAGTTTTTGTCAATCTATAAAGCATAGATTGTCAGAACTTTACCATTGTCAAGTTGTCCTTTACATGAATTGAACAAATGTTAAGTTCAGTTTTCTTGTTGTTTTGAAATTTGACAATGATTTTCCGTGGCCGAGTAGGAAAGGTCGTTGACTTCAAACCATTTGCCCCTTGCCACTATGGGTTTGAATCCCGATAGAGACTATTTATTTCATATGAGGAAGTTCATAAACTTACTAGTTTACTGAACGTCGGTGGTCCTACCCAGGTGCCCGTTTGTGCCTAAAATAATGCACAGACAGGCACCTGAGGTCTGGTCTTCCTCCACTAATAAAGCTGGAATGTCGCCATATGATATTAACAGTATTGGTGTGACGTAAAAAGTTAAAAACACAACTTATAATCCTCTTTTAAATTTTTTAGCTACATTCTATAAATTTGGACCACTGGTCATTTTAAGACTTGACAATTGATACCTCATTAATATTGCCCATTTACTTACTTCTACATTGTAGAAATGACGATTTTGTCCAGCAATAACTTCCAGGTGAGCGGTTTTAGGTCATAATTGCCCTCTTGTTTCTATTTCATAATTAATCTCTTTTGTTTTACATACTGCGAATTAAATTGGTGAGATACAAATGTTTGAATGTGTTCTTTATCAATAAAGACATTTAGTCAGTGAACAGGGAACATAATTGCTCATTTTCCCTTTAAAATATTTTAAAATATGTTCTGCCAATTCTTAACACCTCCCAGATGTGCTCCAGACACGTTCACTGAAATAGCCGAAAGTTTCATAATATTAACTTTGAAGGGAGCTTATGTATTATACCAACTTGTAAATTTGTTATTTTTCATGTTAGGTCAGTTCAGTTGTTAAGATCTGTATGTAAACTTGGGAGCCTTCAGTTAAAAGTTTGGATTTGGATTAAGAGGCATATTATTTCCTGAGCACGGATACAGTCAAAATTGCTGCACATACATGTGCGCATTTTCAAAAGTATATTTCAAAAGGAACACTTTAAAGTGAGTTTACATGTCTGGAATTTTGGCAACAAAGGTCCTCCATATCATACTTGATAAAAATGATAACAAAGAACAATTATCCTAAGTCTTAACCGTTTCCCCCATGAGCATATTGTGAAAAATGGCCATTTTCACTGAAAAGCCTCTTCTTACAAGTTCAAACTGCTATGAAACTATGAAAAATGCTTCAATACTAATCAAACTTGGCTCAAATGTTGACTGGACCATTGCCTTTGTAACGACATGCTCAGTCTTAAATTTCCTGTTACCATGGCAACGAGGGGACATCTCAAAATTGCCAAAAATCACTATTTTGCCTCGATTTTTTCCATCAAAATTTATTTCAAAGTGCTGCAACTTCTCAAGGGATTGAGATAGAGTCAAAGGCTTTTCAGCGTTGGTTACACGTTACCTTATGATCGACCTGGGGTCATTTTAAGCCTCTCACAAGTCCAAAATTTTCTTGGCGAAACCCCCCAAACAGAAGGGGGCACATCCCCCTTCTGGCAACCCCCTGATGTTTGTTTTGGATGGGGGGGGCGGCGCCGAAAAAGTGCTCACTTTTTTTAGCAAACATTTCTCAAACGAAAACATGTGTTTGGGACACAAATAGGACATTTTTTCACTATTTCAGGCCTAAAAAAAGGGGGGGGGGCCTGCGGCAGGCTTGACCAATTATTTTTGTTAATATGTATTATTAAACACTAACCTATACTTGGTGAATATAGCACAACAGTATAATGTATGCAAAATTGACAGATCGTTAACATTTGAAAATAGACAAGTATATGTTTACATGCCCTTTTGCTTTTTGTTATTTTGTGTCAAAGAACAAAAACCGGTCGTAGTACTTTACATTCATTGTAAATCAGGAAATTGACACCCTGTATGCTTTATAATTAAATGCTTTTTGTTTTAGATTTGTAAAGTTTATACACAATACGCTTAAGAAAGTTTAAAACAAATGATTTGATTTAATACACAGGCATAAGTTATTTTATAGTATATTTTTAAAGGGGGTTATTATTTACATTTTTTTTTTGGTTTTTGACACTTTAAGATGAACACAGGTTATTTTATCAATCTGGTCATATTTTTTCTTCCCATGTTCGATACTCGTGCCTGTGATTTAATACATGTAGTTCATTTAAGTAGCGAATCTTATAATAATTTCAATGACTGCGTGTAATAATTACTTTGTATGAGTTAATTACGGGTATTTGGCGATATTATGACAATAATTAAACGGCATTTAGAATAAGGACTTTTTCTCATTTTATGATATTATACTCGTGTGGATAGAATGATGGAGAAGACAGAGCATAAAACACCATCACAACCACGTTGCTACTGGGATGGACGGGTTGAGCTCTTTGATACGAGTTGTTCAATGTGTAGGAAAAAGAAGACTTTAACAGAGGGAGAGTACCACTGTAAGTTTTGTGGGGTAATGTGTGAGAATTGTTCAGCAAAACATCAAAAAACACCCCAAACAAACCGGTCACTGGGCGCAACAAATCAAACGCATCCGTCAAGAACTGACAACAAACCCAACTTTCAATTCAATAAAGAAATGCGAGATTCACCATAGTAGACATATCAAAGGTTACTGTTTGGACCATGGGGAGTTATACTGTAATGACTGTGTTAGGGATCGGCACTTTGATTGCCCACTTGAAAGCGTTGAAGTTATGAGCCAAGATGTGTCGCGTGAAACCCACATGATTTGATGGCAAGAAAAACGAACTGGTCGATCTTAAACGAAGAAGTAAAATAGCGAGTAAGGCCAAAAATGAAGAAATCGCTCATATGCAAAAAGCAAAAGTGAAAAGTTCGAAGTAACACCTAAGGAAACTTAGAGACAAATT